TTGATTTGTTGCTCAACCCGTCCGTGCTTTGTGTACGCACTGTACGTGTGATTTGTGTGTGTTTGCGCATGTCTGCACTTGCACTTGTGCTCAATTGCTTGTTAAATTTTGAAGAATTTTTTTGTCAAATCTTGCCTCTAACTTCCGCTTGATTTGATTGACAGTGCTTGCGCATATATCCTTGTTTGTTTTGTAAAAATTGTCGCTTGTTGTCACTCAACCAAAATCGCTCACCTATAGTCGCTCACCTTCTTGGTTGATCCAATTTGCACACCTAGTCGCGCCGGTGCATCAAACTTCGCATGTTAGCGCGCTTGAGAATTTACTCTCCATGCCGCTTGCCTACAATGCGCCTCATTCAAATTTGTGCAACTAAATCACATCTACCACAACAAATATCATGTCTTTTATTGAATTTAAATCAACCGTCAAATTTCTATCTGCATCCAAAATTTTTAACATCGTCTGAACTCTATCATCATCGAAAAGCCAACCGAATTGACTTGTCATTTGTTTTTACTATGAAAGTTAGCGACTTCTCCATCATCAAATGGGAAAAAGATTATTTCTGCACCATCTTGATGAGCTTTTCCTTGGCAAGTATTATGTATACAAAGCAATTTGAAACGCTTAAAACAATAATTGCCAAGCCATTAGACAAATATTAGTGAAATTATAGAATTACTACCAAAAAATTCAAAATCAAGTAAAAAAATTTGCCAAAATTATCTTAATTTGGGCAAACTTGGCATTTGCCAGATTTGAAAAGTCATGAGTTAATCTCAACAAATACATCAGCTTGTGTTTGAGTCTAAGTCTCAATTTGAACTTTCTAACTCTAAATTTGTAAATAATTCACAATTGTGTGTGAGTATATCTCACACAAATCTTAAGTAATCATCAATGAATCATTCTTGGTAAAATTTCTAGGAGAGTGAAACTTTTGGAGACAGAATCCAGACGTAACTATGTACATCTCAAATAATTACTAGAAATTGGCAGTTTCAATGCCAAATGATACCAAACAAATACCACTATGGAGCATAATGGTAAAGATTCGTTTCCACATGGAAAGAAACAACGACAAAGATTCAAGTATTGTCACTAGTTAACATTTTATTGAAGAGTTGTACTTCTCAAGCACATGTCACTCCCAAAATACACTGCTCGAATATGGCCGAAGGTCCAAAGATCAAAGTATAATCACACACACAACCTAAAATTTGTCCAATCAAAGCCTGCGGGAATCGCATTCGATCCCGCACTTAGAATTTAGGGGAAAAACTTTCTAGAATTGCTCGTTCTAAGCCTACTGCTCCGAATACTCGAATTTGAACTGAATAGCTTCATGCACACTCGGAACATTTCAGACACTCGCAGCTTCAGATGCGATAATTTTGACAAACTGAAGCACATCATGCAGGGTGACAGCCACACATAATTTCACGGACGCATACGATAGATAAAGGTTGATAGTCAAAACAAGGCAATTGACAAAAAAGTCCCCCAAGGAAAGAGCCTTGGGTCTCTTTATTCACTCTAAATTCCTAGACATCTCAACTGCCCGAGACGAGCTACTCTCAGGCGCAGTACCATATGACGCAGCGGTAACCGCATCCTCTGAGCTTGTGTCCGCTCCTAATCTACGCAACACGCCTTAAATTTCAATCTCTAAGTTCTCTCGCGCTTCTTCTAATCCCAAAGAGAAAGTATTGACTAATCTAACTAACTGACGATGTTAGACGGTTCCACTGCTCTTGAGTTTCATCAATCGCCGCTCCAGCGAATCCAATTTCATCCACTTCAACGTTTGGACTTCTCAAATAATGACATCGCGCAGATACTTCTCAACGTGCAGACGCAAACTATCGGTTGTCTCCTCCTTCAGCTGCCGAAACGCCAATTCCATCACTTCCACTCTGGTCCGCGACGTCTCTAATTATTCCGTAACTATTTTCAACTGATTTCGCAGCCAATTGCAATTTGCATCCAATTCTAGTCTACATTTGACCTCCGAAGACTTGGCCATTTCACACTCTGTCAATTTCGTTGCCCAATTAGCCAGTTCGGCCTCGTGCTTCTTCATCTCCTCCACCAAATTCGCCATAAGTTCATTCGTGTGTTGCAGCTCTTCATTATACGCATCAGTGCGTGCCACGATACTTCCCCGGAGGTCTATCCTCTCGATCTGTATCATCGCCACTTCTCCCTGAAGACCTTCGATTCTGAGTTCTTCTTCCTCACGAAGCTCCTTCTTCTTGGCTAGGTTCAACCGAAGGACTTCGCATTCCATTTCCTGTGCTCAAAGTTGCTCCTCTCGCACCTTTAGACTTGCAGTCGCTGCTGCACACTCTGTCGTCATCTCTTTGGCGGTCTTCACTGCAGCTGCTCTCTTAACATGGGTCCTATTCTTGAACGTCTCTACATAAAACCCTGCCTCCTTAGACATCGTGTACTTCTCTCGCTTCACATCCAAGTACATCAGTATGGGAACGACGCTATCCTGCATGAAGTCCAAAAATGTGACCACCAACTCCTTTGGCTCTTCTGTTGAAGATCTTTTCTCAATTTTGGGTCTCACCAACCCCAAGACACCTGAAGCGAAGGAATCTCAAGAGATTCCACCACCTTCCCACCAATCTGTTCTACCACATGCTCTAGTATCTCCTCGCTCAGAGTAAGCTCCTTCACATATTCTTCGCTAGTCTTCGGCTCTGGCACGTCTGCCTTCTCCGAAGACTCATTCTTCTCCGAAGATGATTGCTTCCTCTCCGAAGGCCAAAGACCTTGACTTGACGTCGGTGTCTTCTTCCCCGAAGATTCCACGTCCTTCTCTAAAGCTTCCTGAGCTTGGACTCCCGAAGGTCCTGCCTCATTGGTCCAAAGATACACTTTCTCCCTTGCATCCTCAGCCGTTGCAGATGCGATTCCTTCGGACATGGCAACACTACCTTCCGAACTCTCTGACACTATCACTCGGCGATGTGATTTCTTCTTTGGTCTAGCGCGCTTCTTCGACGTTCTTAAGCGCCTTACATATGTTCTTGCCATTCGTATTTCCGATCTTCGACCTTTCCTGCTAGCTTCGGCTACCTTCTGCCTCTTCGCATGTCTTCGCTCAAATCCTTCTTCCGTCGTGACTACTTCCACTCGAACCGATCCTCTTGCTGCTCCTCGGGTGGTCTCTTCGGCTCGAGTGTCGTCTTCTTCAGTTTCTTCATCAAATTTCAGCTCCAACACCTCCCTTTCGTTGAAGAATTGCTTCTCTTCAACCTTCGTTAGCAAATCCATCCCGCGATAGAAATTCACCAAGAAGGGTGTCATGTGACTCACCAAAGCCCCATTAATCCTAACCAGGTCACAGAAGATCTTCGCCTAGTGAATTGCCTCTCCTCGCACTTCGCGTTCTATAAATCCTACTTGCCATGCCATTACATAGGTCGTTCGCTGCGGCTTCAAGATGCATCACTGCTGTTGTTATAGCACGTCTCTTCGGGTCGCAATACTCCACTGTTCTCCAACCATTCGTACTCGATCGAGGATTCTTGAAGAGCTACGCAAATGTAAATTCTTTAATCTTAATGTATTTTAATTTGTAGATTTACTTACCATCCAACAATTGTTGATCTTCAAAATTGTTATATTCAAAATCTAAACTATGTCTAAATTGCTATATAAATTTATGGTCTTATGAATAAGATTTGATATTTATTTTGTAAAGAATGTTCAATTTCTCCAAAAATCAAAATGAGAACATCATCATTGTTAGAAATAATATAAAGGTTAGATATCATAAGTAGATTCATCATTGCTATTATTATTGATACATTTGATTGTGTAAAGATGTTTACTTAGATTTAATGTGTCATGCATCTATATATAATAATATCTACCAATCCTTTCATATTGTATGGAAACGTTTTAGCCCTTGGAGAATTACATTAGTATTCATCTTCTGCATCTTTGCCCACCCAAAAACCAATATTTAATTAATCTATTTCCACATTTTGAATGAACAACATCATTCTTTACATCACTAAGGCTTGTTCTACAAACATGAAAGCTCTTGAATCTTGGTTTCATCATGCATTAGAAAATTTTGATTACAACAATTGTTTTTTCACTACAAGAATACTATGTCTTAGTTTTGTCATTACATCATCATCTTGAATTGCGAATGCCGTTTAACTTTATATGTAAAACGTTTGGACTTGGCTTTAGGTTCTTTTGGAGTGAGAAAAAAAAAACTCTCTAGGTAACTAGATACCACGAGTAATGTCACTACTACTCATGCTTATGGTATAATGCTTTTTGGAGACTTTACAACTTACTTTATTTCCAATTCGTGATATTATTAAAGGGAAAACTGTACATATCTATATGCTTGATTATTTTCATAGTTTTGTAATACATTCCAATTCAATCTGAGGAAAATTTTGATGCAAATGATTGCAACAATGATGTTTACAAAATAAATTAAAATGATTCAATTGTAACTAGATCCAACCTGATCCGCAAACTAATTTCGAATAATAATGTACGAGACTGATGTGGTGCACGCGGGATTGAAGGTAACACATGATTAATTTACGGCATAGCTCCATGAATAATTGCGGAAGAGCGGTCGTGGCAGATCGCAAGCAATTTGTTTTCTCTCGAGCGATGGAGAGAAACATCACCTCGTCGAAGAGATCAGAGGACAATACGTCGTAGGCAGATCAGGCCATGGAGTCACCGCGTCAAACGGACGTGGATCCATCGAAAGTGGTGGTCACACTCGAGGAGTGCTGGAGTGGTTCCGCATGTAATCGATGCGCACCCAAGGCCATGAATGGAAGATCTACCTGTCATTCAATCATGAGAGGAAGCCATCGCCGAGGCATCAATGGTTACGGACACGGCCAATTTCCCGGACAGAATAGGAACCAGACAAACCTGATACTGTGCCGTGCAGAACAGTATCGCAGTTCCATCACGTTGTAATAAGTACCCTTCGCCTTCGGGCGGGCGGGCGAGTAGCGAGGATCGGAGACTTTGGTCATGGCGCACTTCAATGCAGAGCACAAAGCCGTACTCTCTTGAGTGCTTGCCAGAGAAATGATAAACCGAACGATCTTCTCATCGTGTGCCAGCTGAAAATTGTGATAATTAGGTGATGAGATTACCGTGGATGGATGAGGCCAATTTTTCTACCCAGGGCCCGCCCATCGCCATCCACTCCCAACTTAGCGACCTGAGTCTGTCGATGAAATCTTCCCATACTTTTTGCTCTGTTACTCGATCGGAGAATCTGAGTCCCGGATGGAAGTCAAAACCTTGCGTACTATTTTCCTCGAAGGGTAAAATGGATCCAACGAAGACCGGGTGCTCCTCGCTGTTCACAATCCTCCTCGGAGGCGGAGAGACCCCTGTCGTAGTTGTTAGACTGCCGATGAGAGATTTCTACTCGGATGGTCCGAAAGAGCGGCATCTGACAGTCACAATCAACACACGAAGTACCGGCAGAATCGCGGGTTTCATATATCGGGAAAGCTCTAGGTAGGCTCACGGGAATTTCATAAAAACCTGCACGGGAGACTTGCTTTGGATGCGTATAACCTAGCCTCTAGTCTTTCGGCAGACTCCTCTAGCTGTCAAGGGGATGGCTCTGTTGGGGATCTCACAATTGTTTATCATTTCAGTTCCGTAGCCATAAAGAAGGTTCTGAAGGTGTCACACACCAAAACTCGTGCGAACATCCACAAATTAGGCCAAAAAAAGTTCCGGAGATCGCTAACGGGGTTTTATTACGATAGGCCAAAACTCTGCTACCCACCCTGGCTACGAGAACAGAGGGCCGGAATATTCTGTCGGCGTTAAGGCTTGCCCTGTCTTACAGAGCCAGGCATGGCCCAGCACGGCACAGACTTGGAGGCGGGACTCTGAACTGTCTCGGCCCGAGGACAGAAATGATAAATCGAGGTTCTGCACGGTGGGGTCATGCGTTCTGAACTTGCTCTTCCGGAAGTAGGATAATCAGCTGAGCAGGTGTAGAGGAGCCTGGCCCAGGCAGACAGGCAGGCAGCAGGCAGGCGATGGCAGGCGGGCGGCGTTTCCCAGATCCGTGAGACGGATCGGAAGAACGACCGTGACAGACTCTGCACCCTCGCGGACCAACGTGAAGATTAAGATATGTTGCGCACAGCCGTCGAGTTTGGCATTCCATTCCAAACCGTTAAAGACCCTGGAGCCTCGGTAGTCCCTGCCAGTGTCTTCTTTTCCTGGAACCTCTGAGAAGCTGTACGCCGGAAAGTCTAGAAAAAGCGATGCAATGAACACTTTCGTAAAGCCCGTGACTTTCCACGACATTCCGATCCCCGGCGAAGCTTCGACCCCAAAGAGCCCCTGCCTCGGCCCTGGGCTGTAACAGAAACGCTGAAGCTTCTCGTGATGACGAGGGCTCGAGTAGTACAACGGCTCCCGAATCTAAAGCACATCGTCCAGCTGTCCTCTTGCCAGCGATGCCAGACTTGGATGATGGTGTTTCGTCGATAAATATGTGGAACCTCCCCACTCCGGTTGGTGGTGTTGGCATTTTCTCTCCTCTCCAGTCCGTTCACTTTTCTCTGCCAGTGCTTTCCCAGCGCTTCCGACCATTAGAACTGACTCGAGCACCCACATGGCAACCCGTGAATGCTCACAACTCGCAAATCAGGCTCACAAGTGCACAAACATACGACTGTGCAGGTACGTTGGTACAGCTCGAGTGGCATTGAGACTCAACGTGAAGTTAACAATAAAATGGTGGATTACATCAACGCAAATCTACAGATGGTTCTTCTGTGTGATAATTGAACCAGGCCTACATCGGCCTTCCACCTCAACCATCGAAAAGGACTCGAAAGAAGTCTTAAATTCCCACAACTTAAGCAGCTACAGAATTGCAGACAGACATGTTCATGAGAAAAATCAGGAACAACCCGACCTGTCGCCTACATCAACTTCAGGTATAAAAGCACATGAATGAGGAACAGCTTTCGGAGAGGTAAAGGATTTTGACAGCTTTACAAACCTAGACCACTTACTTGCTCAAACATCCTTCCTCAATATCAACGATGCTTGTCCCTATTGGAGCAAGATACTGAGAAAGATCACCTACTTAAAATTGAGATGATATCAGAGTTGTACATTTTCACCATCAAAACACTCTAGTGAGGTTAGGATAGCCGGCTTGCACGTTATCAGATGAAGCCAACTAAAAGGCAGTCCGCATATCAGTAACCAGAGAAAGCAGTATGTTCTGTGGATGGTCACTGTTAACTGACACATTGCTTACAGTTTTACATAAAGGTCCTGAATCGAGGACAGAGTGATGCCACTTTTGACAGGACGTGGCTTGACCGGAAAGAAGCCTGTGAGGACCCTGCTAGGAAAGATGTCAATAGATCCGCTCAGTCTGGGGGTTAACCATACTCCTGTCCGAAGAGTCCACCCCAATGAAACATTGCCATACTTAGCATACGTATCCTATTGTCGCTGAAGAGCATCACTTTTAAGTCTGAAGTGGGTGGAACTGAGGTCAAACTCTACAGCTGGCTTTGGTCTTGACCCAGAAATAGCTTTCATCTCCAAGTGTAGATCAACGTACACTCCCACTAAAGATTGGAATCCTGAGTGAAAGCTCCTCCCATGAAGCAAGAGAAACAGGTTCAGATGGTATCGCAAATCCAATGATATGTTAATTGAATGAGGGGACATAATTTTAGCACTTCTAAATGCCAAAAATGGAAATTAAATTCAGTGGCAGTTAGAAAAACTGGTTTGGTGTCTAGCTGATGCGGGAGGCTTTCAGTACATTTGATCTGTCTCGTCCACTAAGTCATGATGAGAAATGATACAGAAAAGCGAAAACGTGGTTAATGCTTCGGGCATTGACTATAATCATGGCTGTTTGACATGGACTAAGACGGCTGATATAGTCACTGTTTAAGACCCTTCAGGATTCTCAGTTCAACAGGGGCCTCCAAGACCTGTTGTCAATGAGTACTCTGTTATGGGTTTGAGCTTTCGCCTCGTATTTACACTCTATGCCACTGTGTAGAGTTTGAAGCTGGGATTGACAGGCCCCTCCAAGATAACCGAGTCGTCATCCTTATGCACTTCCACATCATCGTTGGTCAGGTCGTGCAATGCAGGAGGGAGATCGCCCTTCAGACCCGTGCATCCAACCAAATTCAGGACCTGTAAAGACCGTAGACCAGTGATTTCTGTTGGAAGTTTGGTGAGCTTCGTGCAGCAATTCAGAGATAGCTTTTGTAGAGATGTCAGATTACCTATCTCCTTCGGCAGATGAGTCAGGTGTTTGCAGTAGTCCAGATCAAGGGACTGGAGAGTCGTCAGACACCAAAGCTCCTCCGGTAGCCTGAGAAGTGCGGTGCACGTACTCAACGACAACCGTAGCAAAGACCCGAGACATCCTATCTCTCTAGGAAGCTCTTTCAACCCTATACAAGAGCTAAGATTCAGCCTCTCCAAAAAGGCCAAATTCCCGATCTCCTTCGGAAGCTTCTCCAGTCGAGCACAGTTGGTCAACGAAAGCTCTTCCAGCATACCCAGTTTTCCAATCTCCGGGCAAACAGAGGTCAAAGCACAATGCGCGCAGGACAGATACGTCAAGCTGCGTAAGCCTCCAATTTCTGACGGAAGCAGGGTTAAGCTCTTGCATCGGCTAAGATCAAGCCTCTCAAGGTTGCATAAGGTCCCGATTTCCGGTGGCAAAGAGGTCAAGTTCTGGCACCCGGACAGGTCCATCTCCTTCAGATTTATCAAGTGCCCAAGCGACCTCGGTAGCTCTTTGATTCCCCCACAATTCTCCATCCGGAACCTGTAAAGAGTGCGCAGATTTCCGAATGCCTCAGTCAGGTCCTGCAGACGACTGCAGCTGTAGAGGTGGAGTTCTGCAAGCCCCGTCAATTGAGCCACTGTATCTGGTAGCTCTTCCATGTTATTGCACCCGATCAAAGTCAGGTCCCTGAGTTGCGGTGGAAACTGCACAATTTTAATCCGGTGACTAAGTTAGTCTCGAAACATATGCACAAGATTTCGTCGTTTTTGGAGGATGCACTAGTAGTGGGTACACCTAATTGATGCAATCAACTTGCAACTCCATGAACTCAGACACGGGAACTGAAAATATTCTTCTGATTCTATAGTAGGAAGTGGCACTCAATCTTTATAATCTCATGTGTCAAGCTTATCAGGATACTATCTTCTCCATACGCATCGAATGGGACAATTTGGGTAAACTAGGTCTCATGTTGGACGACGATAAGCTCTTCATGAGAAGAAAAAGTGTGAAGTGGGTGCTAAGTATTCCTTTCAGCATTCGACATTGTGACTCAGGCCTGCTGAAGTGTGATGGCCTACAAAAGAAGAGGCTTTACCTTCAAATTCAAGTCAATTTCATGAGCCCTCAATATGACCACTTCCAACTTCTTCATGCGATTCATCTGAAAGGGAATTTTAACTTCCGATGCTGGCTGACTTCGGCCCCAGTAGAAAAACTGTAGCTGACTCAGAGCCTTAGTACAGTATCCCCGGACACCAGTGTCGTGCAGGATCAAAAGCCGAAGATTACTCATCCTCTCCAGCATATGCCCCTGCAAGGCTTCTTTACAGCTCAAGAGAGACAATCCTTTGATATTGCTGAGTTCCTGTACAGCAATTGTTGGGCATTAGCAACAGCGCGGAACACTTGACAGAGCAGTGCACACAATAGTATATAAAACAGAACGATGCAATAGTCAGGTGAGTGTCGTCCTATATTAATGCTGGATATGAGAGCATTTATTACAAAGACTAGATGTTCTCGTCGGCTCATATCCAACCAGCTGTGATCACACTTCAGGGTCTTCTGCAGATTCGGTATATACATGCCGGCAAATAACAAATGTGATGAGCAGAAACGGTAAGCTTACATTTCCAGGCCCATCCACCAACAGTCTCTCCGGCAGATGTGTTTGATCCTCGGACTGCACACGATTACCCTGGGCTCGACGGGAGCCTATAGCAGCCAACAAGTCGTGCATGCCTACCAGCTCCACCTTCCAGGGATGCTCGGAGTACCTGGTCCATTGGGCAATACCATACAAACTCTCTGTATCTTTCTTGCTGGCGGCTATCAACGCTTGACTCATTAGGGACTTCATGGCCGGCTTGCCCACAATGCGGTCCACAATCCTCCAATCCCACCCACGAAAGAAGATGGAAATGTCCAGGAATGCTTCCTTGAGGGTCATATCCAGACGGTCATATATGACCTGTAACTTGCCAAACATCTGATCCTCCGGGGAATCCAGTTCTTCTGCCAGCTTCATTTTTTTCGATATCGAAGACCAGTGCTCTTCGCTTTGATTGGCTTCATCAGAGAAATAAGACCCTGTGACCTTCAGGGCTAGGGGGTTACCATCACAGAGGGGTACAACTTGATCAACCATCTCCACATACTTGTTGAGCATTCCTTGACTCCTCACTGGCTCTGAAGCTGCATGGGAGAGAAAGAGGGTTTTCGCTTGCTGGGCAGAGAGGGAAGGCAATTTGTAGGGCAAGAAGTGGTATTGAGGCATAGCAGGCCGACATAGTTGATCTAACCGATTAATAATAGCTAAAGAAGGAGAACTGACAAGTAGTGAACTCTTGAGTGGCAAAACTTTTCCAAGACTGTGAGGAAAGAGCTCTCCAATGAGCCGGATATCAAAGAGATTGTCGATGGCTATGCGAGCTTGCTTGTTGTTGTGTTTCAACTTTTGGAGCTGATAAAGCAAAGCATTTCTCCCCTGTGCTGTGCTGGTGAACTCTTTCTTTCCTCCCCCAAGCTGCTGCAAAAGAGATGCCTGCAATTTTCGAAGATCATCTGGCCTTTCTCCGACCTCAACAGATGCAAACAAACGTTTCTGAGTTTTCTGAAGTGTTGTCACAACTTCATTGAGAAGCATGGTTTTCCCCACCCCTGCATGTCCATAAATACCCACCAGGCAAACCCCAGGCTTTTGAAAGAAACTGATGATGTGACTGATGTGTTGATCCAACCCAATACTCATGGTCTGCAAAGCAGGAGGCTTCTTGATGACAGACTGAGCCACACGGTTTCCCACTGCAGCAAGCGTAGCGAACATGAGATTATCCTGTAAAACTTTCAGTTCACTGAGAACGTCGTCCAACTGGGTCGGTACTCCTTCGGACAAAGACTTCCTCACCATCCAGGCACTTACAGGAGAGCAGCAGCTGCCAAAATGACGATAAGCGTTGTTACTGAAATGCACACAAAGTACCTCCATAGCCACTTTTACCAACGCAGATGCTCGAATCACGGGGTGTTAGCGTTCAGGAGCTTCCTAAGAAACTCAATCAATCGCAACACTTCAACATGTTACTCTATTTCTTGCTACGCTTCCACCCTCTGTTCAGCCTCCACCCCACGGTTCGTAGTTACACATGGGCTTCAACTCTACTAGCTTCTGGAAACGTTTCTGCGTGTCATCATGTACGCACACTGAGGTCTTACCGGTTGATGCGATCCCAACTGAGTTGCGCCTTGGCCGCCACAAGGTCTCAGCGCAACTCAATTGATCAAACCGACGACGCAACATAAACGATGACTACTCTGAACTCTCGCCGAGTCAATTTCTCAGTCGGCACTATCATCAAATCGGGCCTAAAGGGAACAGATAGTCACCTTGTGTATCTTTGACTGGTATCAACCTTTTGCTCTATATGCTTGATGGCAGCAAAGGTGTACAAAAGGGTCCCCGCAGCAATCTTGAAGATGTCGCTATCCGTTTCCAGACAGAGCTTCAACTCATCAATCTGATCACCAATGTAATCAACCTGCTGCTGCAGAGTCTCGATCTTCTCGTGACAGTACGCCACGCTATGGGACCGTGTTGTGATGTAACCGACCAACTTGAAGGCCAATCCAAACCAGCTCAAATTGCCGGCTTCTCTCAAGATTTCCCATTGAAGATTTTCAAAAATAAGAACACGGTCTTTCACTGGCGTCTCGGTAACCTACACATCAGACAAATCGTCGTGACTGAGTCAACTGTCACAGAAGGACTGAGTGCAAAGGATCAGATACTCTGCATTCGACAGCAGTTCCCAGATCTGACTCGAGAAGGACGCAGGACAATTACGAAGGCTGCTCAGACGTGTACACAGCTGAAAGGAAGCGACCAGTAAGCAGGAGGACACGACTGACCACATAATAATTGCTTCCAAAGAGCAGATTGTAGGAATCAACAAAGTCGTCTATTTTGATACAGTACTCCAGGCACCTCGCCATGGAGAGAATTGGCGCACCTTTTTCCTAAGGTCGTCCAGGAAGGCAGCGTGTGAGTTAAGAAATTCGTCGACATTCTTGTAGTCCTCCTTGTTGAAGGCGACAGGCGTGCTGACTTCAGGTTCCGGTTCCGGAACAGTCGGACTCATGGATTCCTTGTCACTGTATCTGGTAGGACTCGCACATTCCTGCCATTTGGGAGTGGTAAACGAGTGGGCCTTGCCATAGGAGAACCCGTTTTTTGGAATCCCCTTACCAATACCCCCCTCAATTCTGCTCTCGGGTAATGATCGGCCGCCCTCTAGTTCTCCCATCGAGTTGGGCATCATACCCTCGTCCCGCACTCTATTTCGCAAAATATTGTTAAGTAGCCTCGACTCTTCAGCTTGAAACATCACGACTCTGTGTACATTGGCTCTCGGAGCAACTCCTCGAGAGCACAAATCAAGCGCTCCGGCCTCCGGCCTGCGCCCGGGCGACTAGTGTACAATGTACCGGACAGACAGACGCGCCGCCGAGGCAATCAGATTAACTAACGTATCGTATCGTATCCTTTCGAGAATTGATGCGCCTCACGCCGAGCTCCCGGTCCAGATCCAAGCCTCGGATCACGCCTCGACCTGCACTGGGAGTCTGCTCCGTCCGCTCAAGGATTGGTCCCTACGAGTTCCTGTGAGTTCCCTACGTCTAACTCGCACTCGCACTCGCGCTCGCACTACGCAAACGATGCTGGCGTCGCCGTCGGACTCCCTGGCAGCCGCAGCCACGGTCGCTGCGAATCCAGATTTATAACTCGCACCGCGACATCTGTTGGAGCTTTTCGCTAAGAGCCAGGCATTGAGCACGTCCCATGCAGACAGATACGTCCATGCGCTCCCACTATCTCCCATCATTTCCCCCTCCTCCGTGTTTTTTTCCCATTTCTTCGTCGCTGGATCATCTCCGTCGCTCCCTCCTCGCTCGCTGTCGCGGGACGTGCACCTACATGGGAGACGAGGACGCTCGAGCGCTGGCAGGCTGGCTAGAGACGGGTGCGCATTGCGTCCATCGAGGAGTCCGAAGGATCACGCGGCAGGGGTGGAGAGGAAGGCCGAGCGCGCGACTACTCTCTAATTCGCAGGTCCGATGGCCGAGCGAGCGAGCAATCAATCTAGCAATCAATCCAGACTTCGGCCCTACCAGAACTAACAATGCTCGAATGCGTGCGGGCTGAAGTCACGCATGACTCTCCCATAGCAGCGATGCGCGACTACATCTAGCAGCAGAGCCCGACAGATGAACACCGAATGCACCAAATCTCTGCGAAACATCGATACTTCGTCGTCCTGCCAGCTGACTGTTCGCCAGACTCGCCTCGACGATAAGATCTGTCCCTTGACTCCAGACACCTTCAGCAAAGCTCAGGAACCAAACCTACGGTGAGCAAAAAGAGAAAGCCTGCGAGAGCGATGGAGCGAGGGGACGGGTGGGCGGGGGGCAGCGCCAGAGGCAGAGGCAGAGCGAGAGCGAGAGCGAGCAACGCGAGCGAGCGAGCGAGCGAGATCGACCTCCGGGCCTTAGATCCTGTTGACCGACTGTAGATGTATGTTGGCACCTTCCTCGGTTCCACGGACGGACCAGTGGAGGTGGACAGACCCGCCCCGGAGCTATGGAGTGCGTGAGGAGCGTCCACGGCGAGCGGGCGGGCGCGCGGGCGAGGCGAGGCGAGAAGTGGGGGTCAGCGAGGAATCCTTCGAGGCTAGATTGACGGACTCGCGGGGCCCGGCGGGCCCTCTCCCGGCCCGCCCGCCCGCCCGCCCGCTCGCCCTGCCTGCCTGCCTGCCCGCCCGCCCGCCCCCGCTGGCTGCTTTTCTTCGCTCGTCGCGCGGTGGGGCCCGCCCGCCCGCCGAGGTCCGCTGTCGCGTCGCGTCGCTCGCTCCATGTCCGGCTGCGACTGCCTGCTGCCTCTGCATTAAACTCTCGGGCCAACAGCAGCAGCACCACTACTTGGGCTGCTGAGGCCTCTTCCTGCTGGCTCTCGCGTCGCCATATTGGCCAACAGCCGTACCGTCGCACACTTATTCACCTCGCCAATATAATATACGGTACGTATTTGCGAGAGCTTCACTGCTGCAGATCTGAGTTCCATCTCTCTCTCGCCCGGCCGCCCGCCCGCTGGTGCTGTCTGTCGAGCTCCTCCTCGTCTTGGTGCTCGAGGACAGTAACTCCGCCGGCCCGGAACCCCACGTCATGTCCCCGGCGCGTTGTCGTCTCTCGCTCTCACTGTCCATGCCTGCCTGCCTGCCTGCCTGCTCGCCCCTTCTCCGTGACCGCTATTCCATTCACTTCTTGTTTCGATCTCACCTGAACCACCTCTCGCCGCTTGCTCACTCGCATCACGCGAAGCCAAACAAGCCAAAGAAGATGCACACAACAGCAAGTACAACGTCGAGGCTAGATTAGATGCCGCAGCTGCACCCTCTTTCTCTCGCCCCTCCTCTTACACAAACAGATTCCTCCCCTTTTCTTCGCTTTATGTTCAGCTATCCCTCCTATCCGTCTATTAATCTATCTATATCTATCCAGCTATGTTCGCAGCTATTCCAAATCCGCCCCTCCGTCCTTGTATCTTTGCTGCCTGCTGCGGCCCACAGATCATCATCAGGCTCCTCACCCCACACAGCCAGCAGATGCTGCAGCAACAACAGCAGCAGTGCCGCCCGCTTCCCTTAACTTGCTTCTTCTCTTGTGCTTTCATCGTTCGCGATTCGTTAGTGTCTAGTTTCGCGAGATTTGATTCCTCGGCTGCTGAGCTGAGCCAAGGCGAGGCGAGCTACCATGCGCCAAATCCGTCGTAGACAGCCAAATTCGACGTCTTCCTCCTCTCTCGGACGAAGCTCCCTCGCGCCACAGAGACACAGAGAGAGAGAGAGAGAGAGCTCCCTCTGGCCGACAAAAGAGTGTCAGAATACTTTTGCGCCATGCTATAATTCGCCGTGGGCTTTCGCAACTGGCACTCCTAGCCCGGCAGCCGACTACGGCGCACCGTGTCCTGCTGCGACGGCGGCGTCCACACCGTCGCCACGTGTCTGCGATCCCAATCATGCAGAAACACTGCTCTCTCAGCCGTGAGATGCTCGGGCGAATCGGCCGTCGATCCTCACCCTCTGCTCTGGCTCCGGGTCCGCGGGGCTTCGCAGCGGAATCTTCTCTCCCATTCGCCCCCCGGCCTCTCGTCCCTGACTTTCCTTTTCAGATGAACCAGTTCAGCGCAGTTCAGTCCCGTTCTGTTCTGTTCTGTTCTGTTCGACGTCAACACTTCCGAGCCCAGGCTGGACCTTTGGTGCTGACGTGCCGGTGTCGGACAGTCGGAGCGGCTCATGGGCACTCTCAAATCTCTCCACCAAATCCCACATAATGAGTTCGTGCATATGGAGTGTAGTTAATACGGTTCAGAGCTAGTTATGAACTAAGTGAAGAGGGCCACTGTGGAGAACTTGAGATGCCGGCATGTGTACATCATCATCTGTACCGGTTTCCGAACACTGATGGCAAATTCTTATTCTTTTCCTTTTTCCCCTTCTGATCTCCTTGTATTTCCCCTGCTCTTGTACCCAGGCCTGGGTACACAGGAAGGGCTCTCTTCTTGGTACACCACCCAGCCCATGCTCCACATGGTCCAAACCAACCCATTAAAATAAATACATAATAATTATTTAATCGACTTCCCAACCACTATCCTTGAGACGAAAACTACCACACGTGGAATGGACCCACAGGACGGACTCCACTCTTCACCATAATCCTGGATCATTTAAAGGTTTCTATCTACAAGCTATTTCGAGTCATTTTGAAGCCACCCGTTGACCAAACTTGGTTGGAGAAACTTATGGACACCGAAGTTTTTACTTGTATTACTTATTTTTCCAATGATAGTGACGAAATGATTTGGTAAAATTTCTTCTCTGTCAATTTCGTGGAAACTTTTTAGTTTGAAGCCCATTTGACAAGCAGATTTTAATGCAAGATGAGCGACGCCCTCTCACCTATATGTGTTGTGGTTGATGTGACTAAACATCAACATCTACGTCAAGCCGATTTGAGTTTGTCCGCCTCCTTTTTCCTCCGTTTTACCATATATTCCACGACCATCCTACTGCGTGTTGACAATGTCTTTATTGCTTGCTACGACGAAATTATATAAAACAGGTCATTACATGCTCAAAAGAAAATGCAATAATGTGAAATCAGCCATTCTGACAATGATATTCAAGCATCTGAGACTCTAGAGTTCTCGGACTACACAGAAAAAAATACAGCTCGTATTCGCCTTTCATTGATATTATACATATAATTCCACTGGATTTTCATATTTTGATTAACTTCATTGAATGGAGTGACCGAGAAATCAAACAAACTTCCAGTATTATATATTTCTTGAAATGCATTCGTAAAGAAAAACTGAAAGTGTCGATGTGAGTTATTGAACAACATATGTTTTTGAGTTCATCCAAATTGTTCTTTATCGCTAAATTTTATGAAATGATCTATCATGAATATGAATAGTTTTCATCTTGATTTCAGATCACCATCAAATGCATAGACTTTCAATAACAGATTGAAGTAATTATTCCAGCTTTCAAACAAAAACATCAAAATATGAAGAGGGAAAAATAAAATACAGAGAAATAATTTTCAAATGAACAACATTAAATATCAAATGAAGTTTTGTAGAAATTAAATCACAAAACACCTCTGAAAATGTTGTAATAAAATGTAATGTGTTGTTAATGCTATCTATACATATATTGAGTTTCAAACATTAATAGCTTATTCTATGACTTTTTTTAATCATGGTTTGAAATGAACAACACCCCCATTTGACAATTGTTAAAACTTAATCCCTCCATGAGAAAATTTCATGAATCTAATTAAATAATAATTCAAGATTTTGATGAAATTTAATTAAAAAAAGAAGTTATTGATATCTTTTAATTTTTTATTTCTTTTCATTTGAATTACATTCAAATAATTAAGATACATAGTTTTGAAAATCAATTATGTAACCAAAAAAAATTTGTGAAAATAGTCCAACATTTTTTACATTTTCACTTAGAAAATGAAATTGCAAAAATTTCACACAATGATTCAATACAATAATATATTAAAGTTTACAAACTAAAGTTACTATTAAAACTCAAAAATTAAGTTCAGTTCAAATATGATATTTTCAAATAAAATGTAAATCTACAAATAAGATTGAAAAAATTCATCTGTAAAGAACTGATTCACAATTTTTAAAATCATATATGTTGAAGTTTTATGATATAATATGATCATAATTGAATTAAACTATAAAAAAATAAGCCAAATTGATATCTTGAACATCTTGTTATTAGATTTTTTCATTTATTTTCATAATAGTTAAAATATTTGAATTTAAAAAAAAATAAAATTTTATTTTCACAAAATTTACAAAAGTATAAGATCAAGAGATGAATTCAATGCTTATTAACTTTTGTCATTAGTGTGTATGTTAAATAAAACATGATATCATAATATTAGAATTTTAACAACATTTCTGTACAAATTTTTTGGTATACTTTTATATTTCAACGTGTTGCAAAAAATTATACATCAATTTTAATTATAATTCTTATAAATACTGAAATAGAATAAAATTTGAATTTCATATCAGAGTTAAATATAAAATTTAACTAAACATTCATTAGTTAATCAGTTAAGGTCATGTATGAATACATACACGATTATGTATATATATATATATATATATAATCAATATTGTGAAATAAAACTAAAAATGCAGGTTAGAGAATCCTTTGAAATCTGAAAATGACAGTTGAATAAAACGTTATACAATGCAAGACATTCTCTTTTTGATTTTTCGAAAATAATGCACTTAACTCTGCTTTGAAATGTAAATAATGAAAAAAAAAGATGAACCTTTATCAAAAAATAATAATTCAAGCTACATGTTATCAAATATGAATAACAAACATTTCAAATTTAAGAACTTATAAACTTGAATGAACTAATAACTAGATTGAAGAAATGAATTATTTTGTGAAATATTTTTTTATAATATATGATTGATATAAATTATCGTTTATGCATGGAGTGAAATTTTTTAACAAAAAATATTCTTGTTGAAAATATTTATGAATATATATTGAACTTATATCAATTTTCAATATAAAAATATTCTTAATAATATTGAATATAAAAATACTCTTATATTTTTATGTTGAGAAATTGAACTCAAATTTTCAGCTGATGAGAGGTTAGAAATGAATGTTCTTTGTTGTGTTAGCTACGATTGTTTTTTTCATAAATCCATCTTGAATATCACATTGTGTATATATGTCTTATGTGTCATAACGTTTGAACCTTGCAAAGCATAAATATTTATTAAAAATATTTATTTAATTCCAACAAATTATAACTTGGTATGTTTTCATGAAAAATTAAAATACAAACACCATAAGACTAATGTATTGGTAATTCTTTAAATCAATCAAATTCTGAATATGAAATCTGTATTATTAAGATATATTCTACAAATGCTTGGCATAAAGTAAGATGATTTTAATTTTAAACTTGTCATTTATTTCGATATATCATATATGCTGAAAAAGTCTATCGGAGCAACAAATGAAAAAATTGATGAAATTATATAATTCCTATAATATTGTTTTATTTCAACAGAGTATTTGATTGAACATGATGAGAGCTATATTTGAAAGGTATAAGTCAAAATTTTGTTTAAACAATACATTGTTCCACATAAGTAAATGTTGATTTTGTAGAATTATCATATATATTTTTGAAATCATGCTCTATTAGTTAAAAAAAATCAGAAATCTAAACCTATATCATATCTTGTCTATTTTGATTTTAGATGATATATTATTAACGGAGTATGATTATCATAGACAATAATTTAATCTATATGAACAATTGAAAGTTGTATGGTTACAAAATTTTGAAAAGTTAAAACTGAGAACCATTCATCATTCAATCCCACCAACAGCAAAGACAAGAGAGTATAAGGTGGTTCACCCTCAAGGGCTATGTCCACGGGGAATAGCATCGTGATAGTATACTTAACATCCTGTCTAGTAACACAGAGACCCTGGATTTATATATGTCCAACACCGGCGACCACTCTCAACTATAAATATCTAAACGTGAGGTTACTCCTTAATCGGAGTTAACCTCAACAAATTTTGCTTAAAATTTGTCATCATTTGAATGTCATATTAAAAATTTTGTTTATATTGAAATGTTTCAAAAGCGTACGTTACAAGTATTTTCAATTTCATTTTTTAAAAAACATTTTTATATTTTTTTTATTGTAAAAATTTTATTTTGTATTAAAAAATTCATTATTATGTGTTTTATGTTAATATATGATAATTGAATACAATAATCTCCTGCCTAAGTATGCAACTTGAACCTGGGAGGATTTTACATATTTACCCGGTAAATGAATACTTTAGAAAAATTGCTTCATATGTGTTTGGTTTGGATACAATGTCAAAAAATTGTCCAAATAATTACTAATGATATGATATAGTGAAGAAGCTAAACAACAAAAATGATCTAAATGAGAATACTCCAATGCGTTAATCGAGCAGTTATAAAAAATGTGTGATATAAGCGGAAGCAAATCTTAAAGCTATCTATTTTAATATCAAATAAAGTTAAGGAGAAGATTTTTCAATATTCAATCGGTTGTTTTGTCAAGCTTCCTTACATGTTTTACATATACCTTAACAATATGTGTTGTGGCAGTCTCCAAATTTTGTAATCTTTTGCCATCTCCAAAGCAAAAAAAGTATTATATTGAGTTTCTTGATTCCAGAAATAGACTTTAAAACATCTTGGTAATGACTAAGTCAATTTATAAAGTGTCAAGGGTAGCAAAACATGTTGTTTTACAAGGAAGAAACCAAAATCAACAAAAATCTCGAATTGCTGGAAGCTTGAGACTAGCTCTATGCATTCATTGCCTAATATAATACTGCAAACATTTACGATATTAAAGAGACCGGCTTGATTATTTGCCAAGTTCTGAGATACACTATTCTTATGCTAGATGTAAATATATCAATAATAAAAAAAGTGAAAAAATGTCTAAAGATTGAATCTTCAAACTCAAAATTTTCTCCAAATGATTATCTATGACATGTTAAACTAAATAAATTTGAATTTTACTTTTTTAAAAAAATATTACATAGTTTAATTGAAGTGTACTTAAACAATAGGCTATTGTAGTCAAAATGATTTTTATATTTCCTCTTTCATTATGAAACTCTTCAATTTATTGTTTCAAATCATGGCATTGTGTAGATTTTTAGTATGTGATACATATATTCTAAGCAATATTAAATTTATGATACATGAATCTGACTAAGTTTAAATATTTATCTTGAAGTTTTAATTTTCATTGTGTTTGTTCTGTCATTCCTTTATATTTAAAGAATAAAAAAGTGTATGATATCTATTGACAAATCATATGATTGCTAGTTGTATCCAAGTATCTACGATTCATGAAAGACTGCATTGACTAAGAAGGTATGATACCCAGTGGAGCGGCTAGTTATCCATCACTTAGGACTAATTAGTCCTCACTCTAGCATACTCAGTTCTCTTGTTGGTCAATGTAGTATAGTAGTAGATGCAAGGTAGTAGGGATGCAGTAGCAATTGCAGGGTGTTCGACCAATCGGATAAGATCTTATACTATGATGGGGGCATATTAGCCCTAAGTGAGTGATAACTAGCTCCTCCCGTTACCTAGATAATCATTTTCCAAAAAATATATACTTAGCATTTGTCATATACATGTGATTCATCATGTGATTTATCATGTTTCAAAACTGTTTTTATCAACAATTCATGAAGATATTTTGGTCATTTTCAAATCAAATACTTTTGTGTTGGAAGATTTGACATGAGTATATAAATCTGCATCAAAATTTTGTGAAAAAATATGTGCATTATCAATAATGAAAATAAACTCTTCATCATATTTATCCAATTCAACACTCTTAGCCATTTTGATATGTTCTTGCTTTGTACTTGTAATTTTTTTTTTATAAAACTATATGATTCAAATGTGTCATATGATGAAACATCCTTTACACTATTGTTTTTTTAACATTTTTTATTTTAAAATATTAATATTAAAAAATCAATTTCTATTATTTATTGGTTTTTACATATATTATAATATTAATTTACAGTATAATTCAAAATTTTCAAAATTTTAATATGCTTTACATAAAATTTTGATTATTTATTACTTGTAAAACAAGTATGCATTATCATTTTTGCTTTGTTGAGAAGCAATTTATTGAGTCTTGACACAATTATATATTAGAAATTTTGGACTTGCACAAATTAATCTTTTCAATCATCCGAATACATCTTGATTTCGTAGACTTTTTAAAAAATTTGTTGCTCTTTTGCATGAGAGTGAACTTACATCGAATTGGACCAAATAGTAACATGACTTAAATTTTACCTGATTTAATCATCAATTGACAAACGAAAAGATGCCACTTTTCAATAGATATTGTATACAAAATGACGATTGATATTTGTCGCAATAAAAAGATATTGGATGATGATTATAGATTTAAAAAAAATCAAGTTACGATAATATGAGACAAAGTTTTTGAAATGATAATAATTCATTTTCTTTGATACGCGACGAATGGTGACAATAATGAAAACTTTCATGCATAGGAATTTGAAAAAATGTTTAATGGTAATAGATCAAGACCAGGGGACCCAAAGGGTCAAAAGACTGAAAAACACAATACAATCAATAACCACAAACAAGAGAAAGTAACCCAAGGCCAACCCCTAACTAGTGCCAAGAGCACTAAAACTGTAACTAATAATGTCCCTTATATGACAACAAAAGATAAATGGTTTGTTATTTAAAATGAAATTATAAATACATACGCACACAAACTATGACATGGTTATCCATGCACAAAAACATATTATAATTTGTGATATGTTGTATTCCATAAACTAAAACATTGTGTAGATGGTTGTAGACAACTTATCACAATTGCTTCATAGAAACCAGTGATCGACATCAATCACAGTAGAAGATGGTCCATTATCAATTTCATTTGACATGAATAAATCTGATCGTGGTACTGTATAAAGCATGAGGTCGTGAGATCTGAGAACTCGCAGTTAGTTGTGATATACATGCGAAGCGGGAATCGGAATCGGAAAACATGCGGCAATCACTAAATTATGATGACCTCAAACAATGGGCTGCATGCTTGGGTTATGAGTCGAAACGCCTGCAGGGCATCGAGGGCGACGACAGAAACTCGGGCGTAGGGGGCTAGGGGCGCAGGTTGGGATCCGAGGAAAAAGGAAGCCGCCCTGGCATGCGTGATCTCACACTGGCGTCGTCTGGCCAGGCGGGTGATTGGGGCGTATTATACGAGATATTTGACTGCCCATGAAAGCTGTTGATTGACCTGCTCGGCTAGACTGTTGATTAGATCAGCCCTACCACGACGGGCCTTGTCGCTTCTATTCTCCGGAAAGGACATCGACATCGCTCGGGCCCAATCGATTGCGCCGAGAGAAAATCGAAAGGTGACGGGACGTCGGCTGCATACGAAGAATAAAGGGGGCAATCAGCGTCGAGTCTCCGGGTCGTATGCTCATCCTGATTCCAAAGGCCCGATCTATCCATGCAAGATGCATCCCGCGCGTGATCTCCGTCGCTCGCCTTCTTTTGTCTCCGAATTATTTGACGCCTTAGCCACAAACAATGTGCTCCAATCCGTTTGATTTATGGCCCCCTTGCTCTTTCCTCCCGAAAAGTTTGATTCCTCGATTTCTTGCCACCGGTGGGAAGATTAGGGAGACATGGGGACAACGTCATGCTTTTCCGAACGCGAGGGCCAAGAAACACGCCTCGCGCTCGTGAAAACGCCTCGCGCTAGGCTTTACAAGAGTTCCGAGGCGTCGAGGATTCAATGGGGTCCGAATTTGTTTGACCTCTCGGCCAGCTTCCACACAAGAAGATGAGGCCGGCACATTTTCTTCATGCAGGTCCCCCCCACCCCCTCAAGCCTCTTGCCACTTGCATCGGGAAAAGTAGACGAAGCATTCCTCGAGGGTATCTTTCTCGGCTAGTCTTAGTGGGCATCAAATCGCTCGAACGAGGAGGAGGAGGAGTGTACGCGAATCAACCTTGTCAACTCGGGCTACAGTATCTCCTTTGGACTGATTGCCTCCGATAAAAATCTGGAAAGCTTGACGGCTTTTGCAACTTTTGTTGAGCCGTGTGGGTTTCGAGTATGCAGCGCTCTAGGATGTTGACCATGGTGCTCAAGAAGGCGGGTCGGCACTTTGGGGACCCAGTTTTCTCTCTCGATAAATTTGGAGATTCGCTATCTTTATCACCTCGCAACTTTTCTTGAGCCGTGTGGATCAGACTATGGGACCACAACACAATACATCTGGTTCTATCCTTACTGCCCAACAGATTCACTAGTTTCTCCTCGGCCCAAAGCTAAACACTTTGATGACGACCTTGCAACTTTTGTTGAGGCGTATGGAAGTGGAACGAGAACCCGCATCATCATGGGCTAAATTTGACCAACTCCGGTGCTCAAAAGCAAAGGTTGTCCATGAGGATCATGAGAAAGCTTCATGGATGTTGTAACTTTGACTCCAAGATCACATTGAGTCACTTAAGCAGCAGCAGAGGTGGAATTTCAACGAGGATCTGAGAAGTAAGAAATCCGAAACCACCACTGGTCGACCTCGTCTCTGGGGACCGAAGACCGAGAAAGGAACCCCACGAACAAGACCCAAATGTCCCAAGGACCGGAAGGGACAAATGCTCCACAATTCTATAAGTGGTACATTTCTTTAGCTTTTGCAGCTTTTTGTCTAGTTGCATCCGCATCGAAGAAGACATGGACTCCTGATCTTTTTGTTGTGTTACAGGCCATTTCCTCTCCTGAATCTTCCGATCAAGACATCTGGATTGTCGAGTATTCTAACAAGCGGAACAACCTCCTTCCTATCTTTAGGAGGCGTTGTTGTTTCCGGCAGGTGCCGTGATCTCCCTCCGTCCTTCGCACGTCTCACGCCGCTGTGGGCTCCGGGGGTGGTACTGTATATCCGATTAATTTATGCACAGGTGCCGCTATCGACAGCGATCCGGTACATGGATTTAGACTTTCACGAAAAGGATCTGTAGAGGTCGATAATTAAGAGGCCGCGTAGCCGAAGCAAATCGGTGCATAGACTTGTTTGTTGGTCGGCGTTATCTGCTAGCTTTTTCTCTCTCCGGGCCTAGAGCTGAATGGAGCTTAACGCATCCTCGCTTCTGCAGAATCGAATTGCTCGCATATCCCATACCCTATGATCAGAACCGGCGACGAGACGATAATATCCGGTGATCGAGTTCCTCCTTCCGAGAAAGCAAGGATCAAGTCAACCCACAGGCTGCCCTGGAAAGGAAGAGAGCTGCTGATTTTACCGGAAGGCTGTCAGGAGGTAGGAGCTCCGGGCAAGATGTCAAGTCAAGAGTTAGGGTAGGGTGCACATGGAGCATTTGTCGCGCGAAACGTGAGACGAAGCCATATCAGACACAATCGATGCAAGCGAGTTTCGCTGTATCCCACCTGGATCAGGTAACGTCAACAATCGACGGATACTAAAAAGAATGCCATTTGGTGTTGTCATGGCTGTAGAATTCGGCCACAGTGACTTACTGTATGCGGCTGGAGGTGACACCACATCGCCCACAAATATCTTCTGTTCATGACACCGACTCGCGATCCCGTCTACTGATCATGCTGCAACAAATGACTTCATCGGAAGAGCATGAGCACTGTTGATTTGCCTGTTGAGGTCACATCGCACTGCGGGTGGTGCGAGGCGACGATCCCGGCCTCGCATGATCTTGGGGCCGAAGCATAAGATATCATTCTTCCGTTGACAACTCCCCGACCTTTGCCTGCGCGCCAAGAAAATCCTCGTACCAAGATGACCCACAGCTCTTAGATTAGCGATGTACTCCGCCTTCTTTCTTTAAGTGTGGGGGCTATGTAACCAACCACTTCTTGCAATGGACGTCTCCTTTCGTCTTGCTCCCTTGGCCGGCCATGCGATCGAAGCATGTGAGGCGGAGTCTGGGGTCTGCGGTTGGGACGGAACGACGAGCATTCGCGAAATGATCAAAGCGCCATACCTGCAACTGATGGATCTGCGTAGGCCCTACTCAAAGGCGTGCTCCAGGTACACGAGACCTGGCTTCCCAAACAAAGGTACTCTTGCAGGAATTGGGGATAAGTGAACGAAATGCTTCGATCACAAAGTTTCGATTGCGCGGAATATTCGTCGCACCTTGAATTCGCCAGGTTCAAAGCTGCGTACGCAGATTTCACGTCGGAATACCATCTCGCCCTTACAAATTGAGAGTTCACATCGAAGGTAATTCTTTAAATACGCGAGTGGAAAGCTCCAAGAATGCTCAAAGCGAGCGAGAAAATCCTTGAAACTCTTACTTTATGTCGGGACAGATGTTTCTATTGTGGCCGAATCCGAATCCAATTCCCCAAGTCCGAAGAAAAGGCTCGACAGCTACGAGGGCTAGGCTCGTACGATGCACTCGCTCTCCGTAAGGGATGCACCTTTCCGCGGGTGAAAAGCCTCTTTCGGTAAAAGCTTCATGGTTCACAAGACGAACGTCGTCGTCGTATGCGTCTGCATGTTCAATGCGATCGGAGGAAGCGCGATGGAAATGGTCCGGTTTTATGCACGAGTGTTGGGACGGACTTGGCAGGCACTTTCTCGCGGACTCGCCCTCGTGGCGCACCCTCGAGCCATGGCCCTCGACAGCCGGGAACTCGATTACTTCGACGACTGCGTTCCATGATGCTCAGGAGCCAATCCTCAGCCTCTTCCGTCACTGGGGCCTCGACCGCCGAAACCTTCGCTCGACCCGAATGGCGCCCATGCCTCTGAACTTCCCTGAAGCATCGGGCGAACGTGCTGCCAGACGTGGCTCGGCAACGCGCACGATCGTCCGGCCTTTTAATACGAGAATTGTGCTGGAGCAGAGATCGGAATAAAGACTTGATGAGAATTGATGACCATATCCGAGCTATAATTGATGGCTCCGGCATATCCCGGGGCCCAATCACGGCATCATGGCAGCACGTTCCACAAGTACGAGATATCATTCCAAACCGCGTCCTCGACCGCAGCCGAGCCCTCCGACTGTACTCTCAGTGTACTTGGGGGGCACCAAATCACGACCCCCGAAGATCGATCGATCACACTTCTCCGAGTGGGAACGGATCGACCGGAGGCCAGGCAGCCATTGACGACCTCCCAGAAAAAGGCCAGAGAAAACAAAATGCGCCATCCCCAGATGATGGGAAGGCCACTCGCTCCACAGCCAGAGGGGCCATAAATAACAGCACCGTGAGGGCACCCCCCTTGCCGCCCTACGCGTGTTTCCAGGCAGAAGAAGCCAAGGCACGAGATGTGATATCCATCCATTTCCGCCTCGATGTCCCATGAGCAAGGTTTCACACAAGGCAGGACACGGCCTGAGCCTCCGGCCCGAGCAATCTGCTGAAGTCTCTCGAGTGAGTGACAACTCAGTGAATGAGCTCACTTGGACAATCACGTGCAATGCAGGTAAGGCAACGAGAGTGCATTGTGAATAGACAGTACAAACAAAATGCTTTACTGCACTCTAAATGAACCTGCTTTGACATATCGGCACCCACGTATATTTCTGTGATACGGTATGTGCAATTCGAGTGAATTATCGATGCTCCTAACATCGAAGACCTCTCTCCTGCCTCAGAATTTTGGAAGGTGATTTTCAGGGACCACAAGTCACCTCACGAATCTAGATGTCGCAAAAAGCTTGACCACGTCAATCACAACCCATCGCTTCTTCTAAAAAGGGAGTAATCTCTGATACAAAAACTCCAGCACTATTGCTGGCGTCTCCTTGACGGACACTGATATCTAGCTCTAGTCTCCTTACATTACATGTGCGTCATCTTCACTCTTCAGTGGTTTACTGCGCAGTAAGCTCCTTCAAAATCTGTTGCCTGATTCAGGATAAGAGGATAGAAATCCGACAACATAGCTGGCTATCCCTATATAAACTATGCCAGAGCGTGACGACATCCCTAACTTCAGCTGACTTCATCTGTTAGCCAAATAATGAAGTCAGTGATATCGGCCACGTAACGAAAATCATCAGAGACCAGAGCATTACACCAACTAAGGCTGCTTCAACCATTTCTAGTCTAGTTTTTGCCACCGTCCTCATCATCTGAGTCTCCTTTCTCTCGAAACCGCGGGTTTTTTTCCTGCTCTCATTACAAAGAAGATAATGGGTGTAAGAATGTACAATGTTTAACAAGGAAGTCCAAGAACTTCAAAGCTTAGAGCACTGAAACAGATAATTAACTACGGCCAGCCTCTGGAACTTGAACCTACTGGACCTCAGGCCTGATATACTTAAGTGCGAAAAAAATTAGGCTATCAGAGCGACATTCAGTTCAGAAGTATTTGCATACCGGTCTCGGCCCACGATCTATTCTCTTGACACCATCTGCAGGTGCTCGCTCTTCCTCCCTCTGTCGCTTGTAGTTCCCTGTACTTACAAAACAGAACTTTGGTTAAGGTGGTGTATACACTCTTGAAAGATGGATACAACTTACGTTAGTTACGAACAAAACTGAAGGAGGTGGAAATGGGGCCAAAGTAATCAGCTCAAAACTTGAGGTTGCATGAGCTTGAAAGAATGGCTCTGTTACACAATTTAGTCTTCTACCAAAGTTGACAACAAAGTGTACCTCTATTCCGAAAACCCCCTCCACCACCTCCTCCACCTGGACGCACACGACAGTTTGTCATTTACCAAACAAGCCACTCAGAGAAAAGAACAGTCAAAGATGAGCAGGTAATATCTTCGTGTCGAAAATGACCCAAGCAGACACAAAAGCGAAAGGCATGGTTAGTAAAGGCTGATTGCAGGATGGAGAACAGAAAAGCACATCAACCTCTCAGTGGCGAAAACCAGGTAGTAGAATCAAGGTTCTCACACCAACTCAAACAGACCATGGAAGCCAGAGAACAAAATACACCGTCAGCTCTATGTAAGATACATAGGATAGAAAACAAGTGGGAACCAAATGCATGAGGACATTTGCAAACAAAGTGTTCAATCCCGGAGTTTTTGGACGACAGTCGCCGTACCAGCAGCGGTTGCCGTACATTGGACATAAAAATATGTACAATCTGATGTGTGATCAAAATTTTGTGGAGCACAACACCAGATCTGTTGACTTGAATTCGGCCCAAGGAAATTCATATAAATCTCACAGTAAGCAAGTAAGTGTAAAAAGATCATCGCCTCAAGGGCATAAAGCCAGTCAACAACGAACCGAATGTTGATTTAAGACGAAGATCACTATCGTATGAGCAAGCCACTGGTAAGCACATACTATGCCACAGTTTGACCTCGTAAGAACACGAAAGGTATATGTAGTCAATGCAGGAGGCATGCGGTCACCATGCATCACTCCAAGGACGTTGTAGCGAAATAGATTGCCACAACTAGGACTGAATGACCTAGGTAAACACAGAGACCTCATCAACTCTTATATTTGTGTCCAAGAAGCTCGGTAACCAATTGATTGACGTCACGAGGATCTGTAGACGGCACAATAGCAAGGGAACTTGGGGGCAATTTACATTTCCTTTTAAAACCCTCCTATACAGTCAGCATCCGCACGATATAATTATACTTCAGTGGTAAGAGTCGATAATTTGACCAATTCATAATAACCATCAAAGGTGTCAGCATGTACGTCGAGGGATTCAGTTTTTGAAATTTGCGGCAAGATTAGAGATTATCCCTGTTGCTATAAGTGCACTACATGCAATAATGTGATGGTATGTGCAATAGTTCATGAAGCTACAAAAACAGAAAAGTTTTGAGTATAAACCGTATTGACTTCATCAAGAAATATTATTTTGATTCAACCTACCAACAGTGTAAGCGCACCTGGTTTTCTTTCGACATTATCCAGAATAAGGTGCACACCCAGGTTGTGCTAGCACGGAAAAAAAGGCCAGACGTACATGGTAAAGAGACAATAGAGTAGTGTTTTGAAGGAGCAGATATGAAGGTATATTTTTTTTTATATATGAGCAGATATTTCAGGCAGCGAATGCCTGAAAATAGCGTGGACGGAGCCAGGTAAATCAGACAATAAAATCAGAGCATTGGGGATTGCATCAAAATAACTTGGTTAGAGATAAACAGGAAATTAATAACCTCCTCTGGAAAAAGAAAATGGAGGTTTACAGATACGACACTTCTAAAGGCTTACGAATGAGTAGGAAAGAGAAAACAGTGGAGTGGAGTAGAGTAGTGGCCTTGAAACGCCGTAAGGGCCATACAGCTCTCCTTAAAAACTTAAATTGATGAGTTGTTTGTATCAAATCTGATTCTATAACAAACGGGTCACGACATAGAGAGGGCGAAGCTCGGGGGTTAACCAGGGTAACCAGCGTGACCGCATTGTACAAAGTTCAATAATTTCATATCAATCACAGATTACCCACATCTAACAAACGTGTCCCAAAACATTGTGATGAAATGAGAACTCGCAGATACAAATTTGTCTTCAAACAACTCGACACTTACCGGTGCTATTTGATTGCTGTTGATATGATGGTAAAGATCCAAGACCACCAACTGGAGTCTCATAGTCTACAAGCTGTCTCCGAGATTCCAGCTCCTTCTGTACGAGCTTCCCGTATCCTCCTCTACGTAGCGAGCTGTTAAGGAAGCCTCTATTCCGCAGTCCTTGTTGAGACAGAAGGGTACATATGATGTACAAGAAAAAAGAATGAAAGTTTTGATCTCCATGAATAACAGAAGTCTTACGGAAACACAGAGTGAGTGCACATCAGCAAACTACGAAGATTAGCAACCAACATAGAAGGTCAATCTAAATCCCCGATATAGTAAAAAAATAATGTGTGGTAAACAAATCAAAGCACAAAATTATGATCATGCGTTGCTTCTAAGCAAAAATGCCTTCGAATTTAGGCAACTCCTAAGAACTCGTTAAGATGGATATCAGGATCGTAATCAGTACGGTACTCATCACGGACCTGCACAACAGCATCCAACATTGATATTACTAAGGAATGTAATAAAGGTAAAAATGAAGCTGAAGGGCAACTGCTCAGCTATCTTGAGCAATATCGCACTGAGAAGCGCTAAGCACCTTAGAGATCCAGTCTATCACAAGAAGAACTAGGCTGAACATATATCTCTTCTCGCGATACTCATTCAAAATACTGCAAAAAATTATAAAAAGAACGACAAGTCCAAGAACATGATTTAACACACCTAATGGAATTTGATCACGATTCACTCAAAACAATATATAGGGACGAAGGCTTCAAGCTTACTACATGTCCAGCTGATCTAAGCTAAGGTGAAGAGCAATATTTATATGTCTAATTCATCTACTACGACTCACTTGACCACCACTTCTTCCTCGTCCCCACTGACGGCCTTCTTGGAAACCCCAGTCGAAATCAACTCGAATAGGCCTATCGTCAAGTATTGTTCCACTTATGTACTTCACAGAATCGTCAGCGTCATCACGTGTGTAATACCTGGTCGGTTATGCAATTTTGAACCCATCAGAGGAGTCGCAGGGGTTAAATAACTTCACACTTTCATGTTCATGGTTGCTTCCACAACATCCTGCAAACTAGTATGGCTAGACGAGCCAACACACTTGTCTCTATTTGACCTTTGAACCAAATTATCCTATTAAGGTTGCTTAAACTGACATTTTCACGAAAATCTGTATCCTCTGTTTGCTATTTCTATCCATCTATATATCTCCATCTATATCTAGCAAGATGGCAATTCTTGTATTTAATGTCAGAGCAGTGGCCTACAACCTGGTGGAAAATTCAAACTAAAATCCTCAAAACTTTACCGTTCCCGAAGGCACACCGTGCTGGTGAGGATGATAGAAAGCTTTTCAAACAATAAGTTCACACGAGCTGGCAGTTCACATATGAGTTAGAGATATTACTTGACGAAGCAGAATCCACACGGAGTTTTGGTGTTCTTGTCCAGCCCCATGATAATTTTCTTGATTTCACCAGTTCGCGAAAAAACCTCGTAAATCTGCTCCTCAGTAGTGTAGAAGGAAAGATTTCCAACATAAACCGTAACGGAGGTTCGAAGTGCGTGGTCAAACTCATCCTGCGTTCCCGAAAATCTACGATCCCGGTATGCAGAAAGCTTGTCCGGATTCTGGTGAAGCAAACCACGGAGTCCTCAAATTGTTCTTACAAAATGGTGCCCAAGGATGAACGTGGCGAAAATGACACCACATTCTACCTCCAAATAATCGAAAGACCCACATACTCAGCAGTCCAACATCCCCTAAAGTATTGAGGGCCTCACACAACCCTAAATGGTAGCTCAATTCCGGCAGCATTTCTGCTTCGTTCTATGTGAGCATATGCAATCGGGTCAGACCCATTGGTCAGTATTGGAAGGGCACTTCCAGTTTTGAGTCACGTTCATGAAATTCCCAAAGCACTCTTACGAGATGGCGAATATAAATGCAGATATCATGCAGCAGACAAAACATACGCTAGTAGACTGTATGGCAACCTCCTAAAAAACTTCTAAGCACGCCCTCTCAGGCAACAACGACCTTCACGCTTCTACCGGAAGCTGGTACTGACCCGAGCTAATGCACCAGTTGCAGACACCGCGAATTCTTAACGGAAAATGCTCAAAACCCGAAGCTTTTCAAATCAGGCAAACACGCACGCACCCACCTTGAAAAGACGGGCCATCGTCCAAATTGCTCCAAAACCTTCAGGGCTGGAATATACGCTGGTGAAATCTCCTACTGCTATGCCTCATTCACACGATTGAGATCTCAAGTAATTACATTCGAGTTCTCCATCGATCCAGAAAATCCTGTAGTCCCGCTGCTGAGCCTGTTTGTCTTTCACTCTCGTTCCGTCCTGTCAGTCCGTCGTGAGCTCGCTCAGAACTCTGCTCGTCTTCCACATTCTGCACTCCCACCACCTCTCCGATTAATTATTGTCAAAAATCACATGATTTTTTCTCGAACCTAGCCATTATAACAATTTGAACCCAACTGGAAGTTTGCAGATGTCCCAATGTCATCACAATCGGTGAAATTTACTAATATAGAGATCAAACGATATTGAACTACATGCTGTTGCTATATCCGTAATAGCTATATATAATATTCTATAGATTCTGATTAGAATAGGCTACGTAGTAAAATGAAGATATTGATAACATTTGGGCAGATATCGAAATCTCTACCTCAAGTCACAGTACAGCATAACCTGAAGATGTGACATGTATGGGTATCCCTGTCTATTATATTAATTACTGCAATCATCTCTCCAAAAGTTTGGCATATGTAGTATCAAACGATTGATTTTTGACTCTTTGATCTTTTTTAATAGGCAGTCCCTGTAGTGTTTTCAAAATTTATTTACCAGAAATATCAACTATATATATCAAACCTATTATTTACCAGAGTGTATAAAAAATGAAAATATTCTGTAATATCATGCCAGACTATTCTAAATTGTTTCTTATTGGTCAATTATTTCTGATTGCATTCCGATAGAAAATATGCGAAGAATAGTGTCTCCAATTTTTTGTTGTCAATATTTCTAAACGTCATTCATCAAATCCTTTGCATAAGCTTATCTAGATGGAGGCTTTGAGCCAAAAAATCAAAATCAAACGCATCTGGCATGCGACTGCAAGCTACTACTTTCAGTCATGGACATTATTCTAGCATACTGGATGTAGTACTTGAAAAATACAAACAAGAAAACGAAAGAAAGATTGTGTCATCAGCCCCTTAGAAGATTAATTCACAACCATGGATATACTTTCAACACACGGGCAGAAGTCACAAGTCACTACAAATCTTTAACAGCAAGTTCATGGTGGTAGTAGTCTATAAATCCGATTGTTTACACTACTGCAACTTATTCACGATATACTATTAAACTACAGCAGTAACGGATATTTTCCGGTGCATAAACTTGTCGGAGAGGGAAGATAAAACTTTGGCATTCAAATCTTTCTGAAAACCATTTTTTTTGTGTGAAATATATAAATTGGAGCGACTGGCTCATATCCTCTATAGTAATACCAACTAGATACAGAGTCTACTTCAACCCCACACTACCACAACTTCCAAGGCGTGATTGTCATTCAAGACATATTGTGTAACGACATTAATAACGGGATTTGGCCGGTGCATGGACGAGTTGGAGAGGGAGATAAAACGGTAGAAGTCAATTCTTCATCAATATCAAATTATGTATATTTCAACCTCACTTGATTGCATGACATATAAATTTCATTCCGTATAAAATTTCCATCCACCCATGCCATAGCATACATTACATCCTAAGCTTTTGAACTTTACATGGAAATAAACCATATGAAGATGTAAATCATCGACCGATATCATCAAAGATACCCATGATGACGGTTTACTTCGAAATTTTATCAAAATTATGTTGAAACGGCATCATTGATGGATGAACGTGTTCATTATAGTTGGTTGGTGCAGTTGACATACTTCGTCCAAGTTAATACATCGTATGCTTGGTTTACGGGTGGAACTACCTCGTTGTTTCCTTACCATCAGACCGTTACCCTCCATAGATGTAGTTGCAGTATTATAGGTTCATGCGTTCGTAACGTGGACTACTCTATCTACGTCTGCATGTTGTGCAGAATTGACTTTGGATGGTCATCAAACATGTCCAAGATATGTATGTATGTATGTCTGTCTGTATGTCTTCAACATAATATGTACGTATAATTATATCTTCAAAACTTTATACAGTAGTAAGTTAACTTTCTGGATATCAGACTCTCATCTAGTCAAGTGACACGTCAACACGTTCACTAAAACGCCTCATTTGAAATCGAGTCCTAACCTATTGAAAAAAAATGGAAGGCTGAGCGTGATATTTCAGACTCAAAATCAGGAAAAATCTTCAAGTGTACTATGAAGCAACTCAACCCTTCTGTGGTCTGCTCGTGTGTGGTCTGAAGAGTATTGTTTCCTATTTCCACCACGTGGATGACATGTTCAGCACTTCCTCCGTACATGCACATGAGCATCGATAGGCAGGTCGGGAAACTACATATTTAAACTACATATTTCCTCGTGTGCGAACGGAAATTGCTTGGAACAGAGTGCTTTTCGCTGATCCTGGTTGACATAGAAAAACTTGCGCAGAATGTTAAAATACCTCTTTATCAGCTACTAGACTTCGGAAAAAAACTGGTTTAATCAATAACCATACTAAAATAAACAGCAGACTCTTGATTGTGTAGATTGCTGACAACGACGATGCTCTGAATTTGTGAGATATCCCAGACTCAAATGTTTGGAAGAATCATGACAAACAATTTGACAAATTAGAATGCATTCCCTGTACATCTTATGATCATTCCGTTCTTTCATTTGCATGTATATAAATATTGTCTGCCAATGATAAGACAGGTACATATCCTTTCCTAATACTACTAAACATGTACAAGCGTAGTTACAAACTCTATTTCTGAAATATCCATACCCAGATGACTTGAGGTTTTCAGCCCAGATTCAATTCTCCTTCACGGTGGCCTGTTGGAAAGTGGACAGACCCGCAGTAACAGGGGAACAACTTCGTATTGCTCAACTGGTTTTCAAAGAAGAGCAACAGATTCCCTGGCATCCAATACCTATGGGTAGTTACAAGATATCAAGAGGCTTGTAAGCCGCTTCTCCACCACATTCCAAGGAGCTAACCGACTAACATAAAGAAGTACCGGTTAATCTTCGGCCTCAGTACTTATCCTAGACAGCTCTGAGATAATACACCAGGTTTTGGGTGGCAACATATGGTTTAAACCTTGGAGAGAAAAGAGACAGCAAGAAGTGCAAGCTGCACCCTCGTCCAGTCCCATCCCTCACTTTCGCAGCGATAACATTGTATCGACCAAAAGAGATTCTCGTAAAAACTTCACCCATTATGATGACCTTGCAGACATTCAGTGACCAGTGAACTGTCAACACTACAATATATTGTGATCCAACACGACTGGGGTCGATAGTATCCTTAAGCCGGTGGGTATCAAGAGGTCTTCTTGATAACCTCAGCGAAGTGGTCCTTTTGGAGGTACACATTGACCTGCTTGTTCTCCCCAGCAGTTGCTAGTACTGCCAAAGATGAACTCGTCGCCAAACTGACGATTGCAGATCCTGTCAATAACAATTCCAACTCGTAAGAAGTACATCATGATAATTTCGCATAAGTAAAGATACTCATAAATATTAAGGCCGTCACATTCTTCAATCAATCGAAGAGAAATATTTGACTAAAGTCTGATACTCTTTATTGGTAACGGCAAACAAATCAGCATATCTCGGAAACTTTAGCTTACCTTCAAGATCATTAAGTTGGGCAACCTTAGTGCCTTTCTCAACATCCCACAGATGCACAAGACCAGCGGCTGTCCCCATCACACCATAACAACCCATTGACGAAAGAGAAGTGGGTCTGCACGAGGAAAGACATAATGTTGGCAATCCAACCAACGCTCGTCCAACATTTGCACTTTGATACGTATCAGTCTATAATAAAGCATGGAAACAAACCGGCAGAAGTTTAAGTTCCGAGTACTAGTTGACAGAAAATCACATACTCTTGTCACCCGAAGAGTAATATTCAGATTAGTATATAGCTCACCGGTCAGACAAGGCGTGGCCGCAAACTATGCGACCTCCTCGAAGTAACACAGTCTTGCAGTCCCATGGTCCTGAAGTCTCCCTGTAATCTTCCGTATCGGCGCTATTGAAATCTTTCGATCTCAGCTCCATCTCTTCATCTTTGGTCTCCTGCGTTTGAGGTTCCAGGTCCACTCTAGTTGCATCGCAAGTTTGCTGCTGAGGTACCCCTTGCTTCCTGACTTTCGTCCCATCATGAAAAGTTAAGACATCTGCCCCTATAACCTTTGAATTTTTTTCCTTTGAGAAAAAGCCAGCGTGTTCTTCACTAACTATAGATTTGATTTCCTCAGAGATAAGAACCTCCTCTTTCTTCTCCGATAAAAATCGTTCTTTACTAGTGACCATGGTCAGAAGAACAATCAGAGGCAGATCAGAGAGGGACTCCTGGGATTCCCCGTGGGAAGTCTTTTGAGGGATGCAGTTAGAGAAAGGGTCTCCTTGAGAATCAAACTGCTCCCAATTCACAGTTCTCATGTCAATCAAGCTAGTTCTAAGAAGGACGTCATCAAACATTTGGCAAGAATACAGCAACGCTCTCCTGTTGATATCCCTGCGCAATTAAACCTTTTCTCATTAGCATTTACCCCATGGATGAGAGTTGCTAATAGTAACAAACCGAGGTGGAGAAGAAAACTGGGAAGATGATGGAGGCGGAAGAGAATGGACTATCTAACAGAGGACTCTCTTATCAATTGACTTCTGAGGATCTTCCTGGGATCAACCTGGAAAGGTTCACTAACTGATCCATCCATCCATCCACCCATGTGGAGTTTGTTGGTTCGCAAGATTTTACTGAAGAGGTAGGTAGCTTAGGCCTTGATTCAAAGTACATCGAATAATTGAACGATGTTGATATTTTCAATTGGTGAAATTCTTCTGCACTATGATATACCTTCCTTTCTGATGTACCATATATTGTTGCAAATACTCTTTAATATTATCCCTCCATCTTAATTAAGTACATGGATACAAAGTAGAGAGACGATACATTTTTGCAATCATGAATAAGAAAGGGACATGTGAACAACAACAATTGAACAGATGGCAAAGACCCAAGTGTGAAGAGCCTCGCAGGGATGCTATATTCTCAAAGTTAAAAATAACAAACTCAAAGTTCTTTAGAGAAGCTGTAAGTATCTTATCAGTCTCAGGACAAACTTCGTTTGCAGGCTAATTACAAGCTAGAAGACACGATATCGGAAGTAAATCACTGACATTTTCTGTATATTAATCAAGTTGAAAGCTTACCATAATGCGAAGAACCCACTTGGGTTACAACCAACAACCATGTGTGGCAAATGTGGCACAATTAGGAGACTTGTTACTGATGTAAACGGAACCCCGTCAATTGCTGCTTTTGGCAGCAGAATTTTTTTCTCAAAACTCCTACAACCAATATATGAAAAGTTAAAACAGAGCGCATGTACTAAGTTTTGTCAAAGAGATTCTAGGTGATCCTTGTCCTTTTTATATAGATGATTCTGAACAAAAGTTCTTACCTCCAACTAGGATCCATGTCCCAAAGGTTGATAAGGCCATCGTCTCCTGCAGCAATCAAATGTTGCGGTTCCCGTACAACAAGGCATAATAGAGCTCCATCACTTTTCAACCGCGTGGATGCTTTACAGTCCTTCTCAAGAGAGACTATAGTGATTCCATGACCATCGTGGGAATCTGCAGTGCTGTCAGACAAAAGATGTGAGTTACTACCAGGTTGTCTGCTGCGTAAGGTTATAGAAACAATACTTAAAACATGCTGATAACATCTTCAAAGTTTCCATATAATACGCTTTAACAAATTCTAAATTTCGTTCTGTTCGCAAGATGGTTTACCTTTATGAATGATCACATATTTCTGAAAGTTGGGGTGTCTTTTGTCACTGACGGTAAACTAGTTGGCGGACAGTAGCTAACAATGTAATTCCACACCATGAGAGAAATACATACAAGAAAAGGTAGTCGCATAATTCATCAAAAAAGTCTATTTTCAACCCCCCTGGAAAAAAATAGGACTGAAGGCTAGGAGAACAACTGCTCATGAGAGGATCCCTTGAAAACCATTGGACTTCAATAGTCCCAAGAACTCAATTTTGCCCATTCACTTTCCTGCAGACCATCCGTCAATATTGACGGATGGCCTGCAGGAAACTGAAAATCGGCCAGTGACGCTCCTTCCGGTACTGCTTAAGATTTAGGAGGACACGCGAAATTGTATAGGTTGCATAGAAGAAAGGAACTAGGCACAGATCAACTCCTAATACACCGTTATGCAATAAAATGGAAAGAGTTCACAATGCGTTGCTCTATGCTAAGGCCTCAGAAAAATGCTTACTGGCAGCATTGATATTGAAAACTGTTTTTCATGTGTTGAGGTTTCAAATATATATTCCTTGTTTCGAGACACAAGAATGATCTGAAACTGGAAAATTCTCTTTGGACATCTACTAGAAGATAACTTATATGGAGCATACCTGGAGTCACGTAACTTGAAACAATCTAGAAGAATCAGCTGTTGTCCATCTGGTGTAAAACTCAGCCCTGATTCCTCATTGTACAGCTGCACAACCGCAATACCACACGAATAAATATACTAGAATCTGATTTGACTATCAAGTCAGAAATTTTGATGTGATACCTCCGAAGAGTACAAAGAAATAATATTCGAATGATGTTCAAGTAAATAAGTCCAATTTGTCGCGAATCCAAAGCTTATCTTCAACAGCGAGAATGCTCACCTTTATATTCCCCATTTCATTGTAATTGTTCTTAAATGTAGCCTCCACAACTGTCAAAAGTTGGTGTTCGAAATGATCACCTTCTCTGTATTTGACTTTGAAGACAAAAAGAGTCCTTTCACTTCCGGTACCACAACATACACAAAGCTTAATCTCATCACCTCGGACGTTGATAACCATGGTCGAGACTTTTGTGGGATGTTCGATGATGATGGGCAACTCCATCTTCTGAAAATAGGACGGTTCTTTCTTGCCTGATTCACCGGTCAATTTTGAAGAGAATGACGGTTGAGGACTATGAGTAGTCTCACGACCACTTTGAATGCCCTGCTCTGGCAAGCTTGATATAGCTGCTGGCAGTGCAGAAGTATCTTCAGATTGGTCAAGATTACCACCAGAAGAATCATAAAAGGGAGACCCAGATTGTAAACCCTTGTATCCTTCTGGTTTGTTTTCTACCTTTCCAGATGAAATACTAGGATAAGGTGCATTTTCAACCGACATCGAATCTTGACATCTTTCAGACTCTTCAAGGTCAACATCTCGACCTTCCCCAAGGTCCTTCATCTCGCGACTAATTCTTGCGAAGACCTGATCTCTTGGATGGTCATCGAGAGATGTCTCATCGTTGATCATCAATTTCGTTGATATCGCCAGGTTCATTCTGAGATCAGATGGAGAAGTCACGATCCTCTCAGAATCTGAGTTCTCTACTCTTGGCAAGTCAGTGCTGCTTGGTTTGATACAACCAGCTAACTGCATACAGGCTACCTCGACATTCATATCCGCCTTGGTGACCATACTTCTACCAAGAAGGTCCGAGTCCATAGCTTTTGTACAGACCTGGGCCTCATGCTGTACTTGAGCAGCTCCTTCTACAGTGCTGATGTCTGTTGATGTCCTCAATTTCCAACTTGGATCAGACTGCAATCCAATCACCTTCACAGAATCCTGAGTATCAATATCATTCAAAGGAGCAATCTGTGATGTGAAACAGCTATCTAGGTCCTCGTCAGCCACATCATCTCTCACTGCAGTTATGATCACTGCCCTCGCATTATCTTGGCAAAGCTCTGCATCTAGCACTCCGGACAACGGTACGGGTTGAGAAATCTCACAGTCATCCTCCGTAGACTCCGGTAAGACATCAGAACGGATATGCTCCTGGTTGCAAACTTCTGACCTGTTTCCTTTCACCACAGTTGGAAAGAGGCTGTTCGTTTCAGATTGAACTTCACACGCTTTTCCTCCTTCCAATTTATGGGCATCTCCGTTGGATACAATGATGCCAAAAGAGATATTCTTGACTGGAGATTCTTCACTAGAAAGCGTATCCTCCTCAAAGTTACCATTCAATGACGTCACTTGAACACCTGCAATCACTTTTGGACCAGTCACCACAGGATGACCTCCGATTGAGAGCTCAGCTGCTGAATCACCAACAGTAACAGTTTCTTCCTGGTTCAAAACAGGACCGTTTACTTCCTCCAGTTGTTGAGCGACGACCATGGTTTTCGATGCATGTTCTTCTCCATTGCTTACCTGACTTTCAAGTGATCTAAGAGAAATGTTGGCTTGCTGGCAGACGGAAGGAACCAAAGCAGCGGTTGCTTCTATATCCATATCTTCAGTCTTCGAAGAAGGATAGTTACCCAGCACTGGCACTTGCTTCTTCTCCTTACCAGTCGTACTGGACAGGAATGGCACTGCTTGAGGAAGAAGCAAAGTCATCATCGAAGTCGTTAGTTCTCGGCCAGCCGAATCAGACTCGGCCTTATGACCTAGGATTTCTGAAGACGCACTGCTATGTACCTGAGAAGGAAGAGAACAGACTACTTCCATCATGACTAAGTCTTCTTGGTTGCTGGTCGTGCGAGAATCCACTTCTTCATGATTCCCAACAAGAACGACCACATCGGATACAGGCAAGCTGATAGAGTTAGTCCCATGAGTCGCAATCTCCTCTCTACATGAATTTGAAACAGGACGCTCAGTCTCCGTCTGTTGACTGATACTACTCCCATCTTCACTACGTTCTCCAGTCGACGAGGGTAGGTTGGATAAAACGCCTTGCACGAGCATTTCACCTTGATTTATTACAGCAGGTTGCTCGTCCTTAGGTCCCCCACTATTAGCTGGACCATAAACCGCAGTGACGAATACAGGAATACGTGCTAGATCGAGGCTTGTATCATCCAGCCCTTCCCCTTCCTGAGATGGGCTATCACTCACTCGGTGATTTGGACTGCAAATCGTGACAACGTCAGTCTCACTGGCTTTCCCATGATCAACTTCCATGACAGATTCAATGTTCTTCACGTCCTCTATAAATGCAGGGGAAAGCTTCTCCATCAAAACAGGTGTACCTCTATCACCAAAATCAGAACCCATCTTGTCAACAAATAGATCGGACGAAACCACCCCTGCCTCTAAGTTCCAGTTTAGAGGAGTAATCGTGACACTGATGTGGGAGTTTGGATGGTCTCCGCTTTCTGTACAGCCTTTCAAACCAGAAACCTGCAAATCTACATGTTCCTCAAAAGGGGCATCTAGTGGTTCACCGATCTCCTGGACTGAGCCTGGAACTGTGGCGGGATGATTCGCTCTGGCATGCTCCACTTCACATGCTCCTTCAGAACCAGTGTCTTTCACCGCTTCCATTGATCTAGGGACAAGTTCCTCCTTTGAACCTTGTTCTCTGCTTTCGCTTGAACCACTTACGGCAGAGTGCATCATGTCAATAGATGGCGCTGAAGACACCATCTCTACGTCAAGAGTTCCATGCGTGATGACATTCACGTCTTTCTCGGGTCGATCTCCAGCTTCCTCAGATCCATCTACATCCAAGGACGGAACCTCGACATTCATTCCAGAGAGACTTTGTGCTATTATATCTTCCACCTGGTTTGATGTGGGATCTGTATTCACACCTTTCTCGCTCAGGTCTTCTGAGTTACGTCCAAGTTCAGATCCAAAGGCCATCGCTCCTTCCCCCATGGCACATGAGGATCTCTCAGCTGAGACACAAAGACCAGACTCTACCTGAACAACTTGGACAGCTGGACAAACCACAGCGGTCTCTGGAGTCTGTTTCTGGAATGTCCTATCTCCACTCTCTAAGTCGTGTGGATGTTTAACGTCAACTTCAGATTTTCTCGGTGAGTGGACCTCATCCGCAGACTCTGTGGGCAAGTCAGTCTTATCATTTAGCGATCCTCCACTGACCATGTCATTTTCATTCACTGCGCCCTTGCTTTCACTCTCCAGTATGATAACTTCAGCTTCAGTATCTCGTGTAGATCTTTCATCTGAGACACAAAGATCCAACTCCAAGGGGACAGGGACAGCTGAAGAAACCAGGACCGTCTCTGGAATCGGCCTCAAGAACGTCCCACCTCCTCTTACTAAGTGGTCTGGATGTGCGCTTTGTCCTCCATACGTTCTTAGTACGTGAGTCGTATCCGCAGAATTTGTGGGCGAGTCTTCCTTACCGTTCAGGTATGCTCCACTGGCCATGTCACTTTCAGTCACTACCTCTTTGCTCACCCTCCTGCCTATACTCTCCAGCCTAGTAGCTTCAGCTTCAGTACTCTGTTTTCTTACCTCAGCTGAGACAGAACGACCGAAGTCCACCTGGTTAGCAGGTACAGCTCCAGAATCCATATCCATCAATGGAATCTGCCTCTCAGAATTCATACTTCCTTTTTCCGAGCGCTCTGAATGTGCGTTGCCATATTCAGATTTCCTTCGAGAATGAACCTCAGCCGCAGAGTCCATTGGCAAATCCCCCTTATCGTATAGAGATGCTCCACTGACCAAGCCGGTATCATTGTTTACCCCTTTGCTTTCACCCTCCAGCCTAGTAGCTTCAGCATCAAGACAGGATTCGGATGTAGACGTAGAGAAAGGGGGAAGGGACTCAGAGAGTTCATTCGAACTTATCCGTATCTTTGATGGACACTCATTAGTCTGTGACGGAGAAGCAAAACTGGTCATAGAAGCAGTTCCCGTGGGCGAGACTACGTCTTGGGGATGATGGGTATCCAGTACCGTGGCCACGTTGTCTTGCTTGATCCCTTTAGGACGAACCTCGTTATAGTACTTCGTCTCCCTCGCTAGACTTGCAGATTGATCAGGTAGAGCTTCTGAATATAGCTGCTGAAGGGAACTCTCAAAAGTACCGGTCTCAGTGCCATTCACCTTGACCACTGGTTTACGCAGTTCATGACTGACTCCCTCGAAACAATCCATAGTGATCATTGTTGCAGTACTTGCTGCATTCTCGACCACGGCAACAAGCTGGCTGGTACCTTCTGCTTCAGATTGTGAACTAATGATGCTGTCGTGAAGGATTAAGCTTCCCTGTGCTTCAACTGCAGTACTTGTCAAGCTTGGTGACCCTTGCAGTTTCTTCAGGTTGATCTCTTCATCACAGGTAGTTACATCAATAAATGTTACACACGCTGGACGATCTACAATCTGCAAGTCGCAGGTGGTCTCCAGTTTAGAAGCCTCGGCCGCACAAAATTTTGATTGTCCGATAACGGAATACTCCACAGAGTCTGAAACTTCTATCCCTGAAGCTGAAATCTGAAGGTTCATCATGACCTCAAGCGCTGGTGAAATTTCCCCGTCAGGATCAACTTGCCCAGGGTCAAAATTCTTTAACGGACTTCCAGAGTACCCACTGATGTCCTTCTTGAGTGGTAAAACATCAGTGGTGAGGACCATGCATGTGGCTGAGCTTTCAGTAACCGTGGAGCAAGACGTCACGATTCCATCGTTTCTCCTTTCCTCCAAAACAGACTTCTCCATCAGAACAGGATGATCTTCAATGGGCTTCTTGCAATCTTCATCTTGCTGACTTGCATCCACTTGTTCGACTCCAGGTTTTGCTGCTTCCAGGACTATCGAGTGTTGTTCCTTAGGTGACAAACTTTCTCCAGAAAGCTCTTGCAACTTCACGCTAGTATGGACGCTGCCTGTCGTGTGGACAACACTGTTATGATCGAGTCCATGAAGCCTTTCTGAAATATGACCGAATCCACTTCCACCTTCTTTTTCCAAAGACTTCTCCAAACTTTCCACCGCCTGCACAATTTGAGTGTTCCTCTGGATCAAAACTCTCTCACCTAAACCATTACCAATCTGGTTGTCCTCCAGCTTCTCATGACTGATGGCATATTCTTTGGGTTGCAGAACAGTGAATGGATGGTCTCCACGCGGCGACTCCGTCGGTGACAAATTGATGTCAAACAAGCCAGCTCTGATTTGTATAGAGTCTCTACAAGGTCTTCCATCTGAACTGAAGCTCTGCGAAGGCTGAACATTCAGCACCAGATCTGAGCTTGTGGTGACAAATTCGTTTACACCCGCAATAACCCCCTCGCTTAACCGCGGCGCCTTGCTAGAGGTGGAGACATTTTCGGAACTCGATGTTGCGTTTGTAGCCTTCAAGGTCAAGTCTAAGTCACATATTGGTCTTTTTCTCCTGACATCCGAGGTACCAGTCTTCTCCCTCGTAACATTCTCCTGTTCAACTTCAGCCACCTTGCAAGCTGCAAGTAGCATGAGATACCCATCTTGCTTGGAAGAGAAATCCTCGTAACCTTGTGCAGGAGCACTTTCAGAAGTTTGCTTTTTCATGTCTTCGGCGCTCGGACACATCAAGTCGATAGACAGAAAACCCTCACTCTGAGTGAGGTCCACTTCAGTATCATACTTTTCATGCTTAATACTATCAACAATCTTCTGGGGCTTCCCAAGCTTCATCCTCTTCTTCTTGCCGCTAGTAACTTTCGGAGAAGATTCATCGACATTGGCTGGATCCTGCACAAGGAACAATCATGTGAGCAGAAACAACCTCATAGGGTTTGATGCCTGAATAACCACTTCATTTCTTCACATAGAACCATTTTGCGCAGATAGGAAGTCGAAAATCGACCCTCACAGTGCCATTATCGAAATAAATGATACGACCAACAACACCGAACGGTCAAGTGAGGACAGGGAAGGCGTAATTGAAGTGGACGGCTACTTACGGAAACAGCCGTCATTTGAGCAGGAACACTTATGGTCAATTGACTGACTGATACGCCCTTGGATTCATAGGCTGCAGAAGATTGCTGAATGTCCTTAAGAGTAGAAAAGATCGCATCCTTTTGCCTGTCTCCATCTGGTACCCCAGGAGGTGTGTTGACATGCACTGAATCTTTGGGGTTTTGCCCTTCCGGTGCATCTTCACCTTTCATCCGCTTGGCCCCTATGGTCGGGGATTTCACTTTCCTGGAAATTGCGCTGTTTATATTTGGGGAAGAACCTACAGGCTCCGTACCTTCAGCAGAAAGAGGACCTTCTTTTGACTTTGGTATTCTAGACCGTTTACTCCTTGTGCTGTGTACTGGCACATCTTCATCTTCTGAATGAGAATGAAATGCATTAAAATCTTTCTCGGGAGAAACTAACTGGGCCCGCTTCTCTACCTTCACAGATTCAGACCTTTCCACACTGTCTCTAGCCGGCCTTTTCAGTCTCTGCTTCTTGGCTTCTTTGCTCCCCTGTGCTTCCTCCAGAACCTGCAGAGCTACAGTCTGCTTCGCATTCTTTTCCTTTGCCTCAGCACCGTCCCCTAAATTTTTGACTTTGGGTGGTGATAGCAACTTCTTTCCTCGACTTGCTTTAGCAGGAGACTTCTGGCTTGACTCTGCCAAAAGTCCAGCATTCCTACGTGCACCTTCAGCAGCATCTTCCTCACCTGGCAAGGTATTGCTATTTTCTGCAGCACCAATTGCCGATACAACTAAATCTCTGCAAAGACGTTGAACCAAGGGATTCGTGAAGCCGAACATCTGCAGAGTCACAGCATGCTCTTCGTGAGTAGATTATAAACATGATATATTATTCCAGACTCTACAAATTTATATGAGCGTGCCCACTGTAAGATTACATCCACTAACAAGTAGTATTCCATCTACAGGAATCTACGATGCAGACACGCATGTAGGTGCGGTGATAGACAAAACTTGATCGACTTGGTGACGACTGAGAGCAAACACTTGGAATGTGGAAATCCTTGTTAGTACTCAATAAACAATGCCTGTCAAAGCCTGGTAACCATGGGTGCTAGTCATAACAGACTAGGAAAAAGCTAGAAGGGATGAGCAGGGAGAGGTAAACGGAAGACAAGTTGAGCTGAAGGTCCCCTGAATCCTCCCCATGAACGTTGAAATAACCTTAACATGATGAATAGCTGACCAAATCCACCTATGACAACATTACGTCAACGAAAACGACTAAATACGGCGTCTTCCTTGTGAATGATAGGATCTTTGGTCTGACCTGTCTATAAATACTAGTATCGCAAGCAATGTTAAGACTTAGTTAGCTGAGAAGCTATGCAATCTGAACTTGTCATACTTTACCTCAGCGCCATCAATGCTGGCACATGAACTCCTTACAAGGACCCTCTTTGCTCCAACGTGTTTCTTTTTCAAAATATCCTCCCAAGCCACAGAAGGAGTCTGACCTGAGCATATAATGCCCTCTTCACACTTGACCTATAACGAGATTGCGAAGACAGTTAGAAGGATAGTTCTATGATTTTGTGCGAAACTTTTTAATTCCTAGTGAATTTACACTACCACGTCAAGCGAGACGAAGTCGAAATTAAAAGATCCCAAGGACATAAGGCAGATCTCTCAACACTGGACTTCGTAATGAGTGAAATTCTATCATAATATAGACTTTGAGACGTCAGGCATCTACAGTAAATAACCAGGTCTGAAGATGTAGAAATATTCATGGTGCAAAAGCTGTGAATGCATGGTGGATCGCATTCGCGTTTCTTAGCAGTATTTCATTGTACTTTAAAAGCATTTCATAAAATGACCAAATCATGCGCTTTAAAGTTGAGCCCTGCGATAAAAAAAACTTCACAGTTGTATCAGGCTAATAAGTAATATGTACTTTATGCTTGCTCGACGGAAGACTCCAAACGTAATCAACGACAAATGTGGCAATATTGAGACTGTTCTGCGGTCCGGTGTCTCACACGCCACACGACTTGAAGGATCTTTTGAAACTAATACTTTCAAGTATGACAAGCAACCTAATTTGCTTGATTGGTTGTAGGATATTAATCGATGATGGGTCTAGTATTTAAAAACGGTGATGCTACGTGTAGAACATCACGCCCGACCGTATAGAGAGGGAAGGTCCTCTCAGACTGTGTATGAAACTTCCAAACAAAATTACAATAATATTGAAGGATGCTGAAGCAAATCGATAGCAATTACAGCATGTACTAGACAGAGACTCCTTACCACAAATGAAGGTCCTCTGGCACCCTCTGTAACTTCCATGTAATAGCAGTGTCCTCCATGCCACCGGGTAGCTTGATATCCAACGGGATAAGGATACTTTTCCTTCCCCTAATATACAGCAGCAACGAATATTAGAAACAAACTAAGGTTGAAATTACGCATTAATAAAACTGACGAGCATCTCTGTAAAAATTAATGCTTACCCGAGAGCTACTCCAGTACTTCTTTTCTAATAAACCTTGGTAAAGAACGCCAATCGATGTAATCTCTACTCCATCTCGGTGCCCCCGACCACTTGATTCCATCTCTTAGTATCGCCTGCATGACCCGTTCAGAAAAAATAAGACGAACGACCAACCAGACACGTGCACACTTGATGGTTTCCAATTTGCATATATGGCTCAATAGAACGTTCGAACCAAGATTGCTCTCGCGCACTTACACCCAGAGGTTGTAATGGAATCGACAGTGAAGCATATTGGGATACTCTAATCTACGCTGAAAGATTGTATGCAGCGAACTAAAAGATTAGAACAAATGGATTCGCAAGAAAGCAGCGAGTGATCACAACGTAAACAGGTACGTCGAAGAATAATCAAACCTGCAGGAAAGAGAGAGAGTCCACAGCCGAGAGAATGCGAATTCGGGACTGAGATCACAGCGCAGAGAATGCAAGTTAAGAACTGAGAGCAAACGACCTGCAGCCTCGGAAAAGCGATAAATTGAGGTCGTAATGGCACGAGACGTGTATATAGTCGATGCACGATTCACCATGCAACTGTCCAGGGACAAAGCACTGAGAGAGTTCGAACAGAGCCACGCTAGAGATGCTGTACGTGAACGCGTCGATCATGGAATCGAAGTATCTGGGCGAGCCAGTAGCCCCTCGTCAGGAGTTCCTGTAATACTCGCGAGTACCCTAAATTTGTATATCTGATTTAATATCTTGTCACGAGTGGTACACACGTAGCAAAATCATCTTATAATTAAGGCAACTCTTGTAAAAGTAGTCCGCAACTAGCGTGCTTGATCTGCAAGGAGGTCGATAAATGCACGATAAGAGTGCGAATTACATCCCCCACGCAGTGAGTAGATCGTAGGCAATTTCCTCGTGGACATGTGACAGCGAGTAGACAGGCCATCGTAAGATGGCCACAAACGTACATGCCAGTGGACGAGAACCGGTTTGAAATATAAACAGAGGGAAAGTGTGGACGAATACGAGGTTTAAACCTAAGAGCGTGACGGATAGATAACCAGCTGCCGAAGTACCGAAGGAGATGACAATCAAGAAGGACACACCACAATGACTGGCTGAGGCCGACAACAGCATAGATCAACTCTCATGCGTCATCAGCTCGCAAGTATTATGGACTCGTGGGCGTGGGTGGTATCCTGTGCTTTGACAGACTCATTTGCAACATAAAATATGATGATGATGACGATGATAAAGAGCCCAATCTACAGCAGTGCATACTCCTCTCAATGGTGCCAAAGAGTTCCTAGGACGACGTGAAGCAAGTTGGATGTAAGACAGTCATCCTTTGAACGCCCTCCTCTAATTCCAGATGTCCCATCGGCAATTCGAGTCATAAATCGCGTCTGGTACGTCGATTGTGACATGTCCGGAGCCTTACATGAACGAAGGGTGTGCCCACAGCCAGGAACGATGACACTTGTTATTTTCTTCTCACCGGTAAAAAATATTTGATGTAGACAGATACCGAATCTGCCAGACTTCATTATTGCTTTTATTATTCTAGATATAGTAGACCCGTCGCCGTTCGTTTGATGTAGCCAACCATCTTCAATTTATTCTTGTGACATGCCTCTCTACCAATTTGCTGCTGGCGCATGCATCGATTGCCACTGCACAAGGTTTACAATCACTCTCTGTAGGTAATGTCACAGCACCGACTCATTGTCTTGAACTCCCTGGTTCGCATGTCAAAGAATGGCTTTTGACGTACAAGTTGCAGCGAACGCCTCGTGATTATTTATTGGATATTTCTATTGCTACAATATACATGTTCATAATTTTTCTTATATTTTCCAAAATAATCATATTTATGTAACACAATGCCAAACACATCATGTGCATGTGGGACTTTATTTCTTGGACTAATAGCTACCAGAATTCTCTTTTCTTCTGGAAAGTAGAAGAACATTTAGAATCCAAACACTTACAACATTTTGAATTTCTATCGAAAGTCTCACACGTTTGGAAGACTTTACACCAACGGATTTATATCGAACATTTGAATACTTCTTTAACGGTAGACCTGCTCGTGACTCAATTTAACCATACTCACAACTCAGTACAGTTAAAAAAAATTGTAAACTAACATCTTTAACATTCATCAAGTAGAATAACTGATTTCCAAGAAAGTAAATGATGCATATAGAGATAATATTTCAAACATCTATACTTTTATTTATTAACCTTCATCTTATAAATCATCTTGATGTTGTAAACCAGCAGATTTTTTCAATGCTTCACAAAACTGTACATCAAATGAATTGTTAGTTAATTTTCAAAGCAAACCGCTATGTGTAATCAACATTTCAGTATTTTGCAACACATATGTACGATATTTGATGTTTTATGAATGTTGAACACTTACATGTTCATGATACTTAATCTTTTATTTTAATTTTTTACAACTAATTTATAAATTATCAAAAATATTAAATTCACTTGGCTTTTAACGTTGTTGAAACATATCTTTCAATATAATCAAAGATGGAAAGTTTCAAATGAAACATGTAATACAAATGTCATGACATTTTTTGCTACATCTTTAAGTTCATATACTTTTTATCTTTATATTGAATTAGAATTTCAAAAAATTTAAAATGAATGAATTTTTTTTAATCAATATATTTAATACTCTCATACTGAATTGATTTTTCAACTACTTTGCAACAGATTCTTGAAATACACAAAAACCTAGTTTTATAGGCCCAATAAATCTAAGTGTAATGTGTATCAAGTATCGACTAAAATAAATATGGAAAGATAAAATATATTTCATGAAGTTATATAAATTATAAAATTCCACTAAAATTTTTCAAATTCTTGTACAAATGATACAAATCAATCAATCAAAAAATATATAATTGAGAAATTTAGTTTCATTTTTATTAAAATCCATTTTCACTGAATATTATAACATATAAATCATGGTTTTGTTCGTTTGAAATTATTCTATAAAATTTATCATCAAAGTTTATCTATTTAATATCATACTTTTATTTGTGAAAACTGGGATTTATTTCTTGACTTAAAGATATGTACAAGACAATTGGATTTATGATAATTTTTTAAATAAATTTTTAATATATGTAAAAACACAAAATTGTAAGACAAAACATTAAAAAAATAAATTACATACATAATATGACTAGAACATAAAACCAGTACTTTAGTTATATATCCATTGAATATAAATATTAGATTAATGACACTTGAATTTATAAGATGATATGTGAAAAGTATATATTTAATTAAAAAATATAATAAAAAGTGAAGAAATTTAAATTATTGATACAAATGAAAATATTCTTCATTGCTATTTTTAATTGATAAATAGAAAATTAAAATATTGACGGATTCATATAAGTACAACATTAAATCATATTGAGAAAATGCTCATACTATGTGATTTGATAAATTTTATGTTGTAATAGTGATCATTTGTGTGTTAACAAATCCTTAATTTGTAAATTTATATTTTTTGAGAAATAATATTTACAAAATTTAAGCTACATCTTATATGTGTTTTAAAATTTAGAAAGATGAGTTGTGAAATTTAGGCAGGTCTTTTCTTAATTAAAATTGCAATTAGTGGGAGTGAAATGTTATGTTCATATTTCGTCAAATTTTAACCAGAATGACTGAAATTATCGTTTCATGTATTTCTGTATTTTTCAGAAGAAAGTTTTGAATTAGAATTTACATAAAAGTTCTCTCTATATTCTTACAGGTGGATTGTATATGCATGATGTTCATAAAATTGTAATTTGCAAAAAATGGAATACAGGGTATCATTCAGGATACATTCTTCACGAGTTTGTCGGTTTATAAAAATGTCCGATTGCAAGAAATAATGTGATTTTAAGTTGTTACTATTTGTTTTATATACTTGTTAAATATTTTGAAAACAATTCTACTTAAATTTAGAGCCATTTTATCGTATATGAAAAAATAACTCAAAGTTGGAATTTTTATTTTCTTAAAAATTAAATATATGAAAATTTTAATTTGTATATTTGAAACATGAAAATATACTAATTTATCAAAATTAAATTTATTCTATGACTTAAAAAAGAATATATTTTACGATTTTTAACCCGATCGATGATAATAATGAGAGCTTACTAAGATCTAGTACTAAGGTAGTTTAGATTCATCACCATGGTAATGAGAAAAGAATAGAAGTGTAATTCATATTAAATCTTATAAAAAGCACGAAATTTTTTTTATAATTCTTTACTATAAGTATAGTAATACTAGGAGGGGTTATACACGAAGAAGTCTTGAAAAAAACCTTAGGCTAGCTCGTTTGCGGTGCGTTAAAAAGATAAGGTAGTGTAGAAAACGAGCACAAACTTGAGTAGACGATTACGTGAGAGTGAAAGAAAACAAAAACTTATTTTGGGGGTTATTTTACAGTTGCGCTGTAGTAACAAACGCTGTAGTTCAATATTTAGCAATGTTGTTTCACAATATAAGATATTCAGATACTTACTTATGATTTTATCATCAAAGCTAAAATTTGATCACAAGACTTACTCACACGTTTCAGACGGAAAGTTGATTCCAAGTTTGATTGATCAATGTCTGAAGCATTTTTGAAACTAATTCAAATATGCATACATAATGAAGACATTATTGAAGTTGCATCGAGAGTACTATTTTCAATTGATCTCGGCTCTTGAAATGTAAATTGTGTCAGTATCTAAGAATTCTTCACATCTGTATTCACATGGGTATTTCAAAAGACCATATTATCCATGCGTAGATACCACCAGCGATTGCAGGCTGTTTGAGTTTGGTATGTGTCCGAGGCAGTCAAAATCCAAGCTTGAGACCAACGTGTGATGGCCTTGAGTACCTACAGAATAAGTAACAACTATCTGGGTTTGGATTTGGATGAATACAAACATTGAATATACAAGAAAAAAATTGGCGAAATTCATTCATACAACTGTTGGCCTGTACAGTTAAAAAGAAGTTCGATGCACAGTCACCACCTCACACATGCAAAATTAAATTGGTTTGAATAAGTTGGAGATGCATCTGGGCACATGTGAGACTGATGCGAATAGCTGACAAAATCTGCACCGTGTGTTGGTCTTTATCCAGGCACGTTGCGAGAAAATTCTGCAAATACGGAAAGTGCACAACCTCTATAACTGTTTGCGCATCCTCATCGCTCTTGCATTTATGGAGGGCGTCCATGCAAAAACTGCGGAGAGTTTGCACACAACTGTCTACAGATAGCTCGGAGTCAATGGACCGATCGAACGGCTGCAGGAACGGTGGCCGTTCCGGATCGACGATCGACGATCGACGATCGACGGTGATGGCTCCGTCGATCCGGGGCAGTCAATAGTCTACCGGCAGATAGGCAGACAGTCGTGGTTGTGCAGCCGTGCGAAAGTCTAAGTCCCTGCAGTTGACTGCGTCGAGGCCTGAGGCTTGCAGGAGAAGCAAAGGAAGCGCTACTTCCAAAATACGCTTTCTTGCCTTCTGCCTCGAAGTGGCCTTAATGGCTTGAACTGCGTTGCCGTCCGCCTTCGTACTGCAGATCGTGGGGAACTGGATCGAGTCCCGGGCCGGCCTGGGCAGTCAGAGATTTGGATCTGGAGGTGGCAGGCATTTCGATCGATCCAAGATGCGGCATAAGCTGGGAATGATTCTGGAGCTGGCAGCGCAGACCGGACCGTGCCCATGAGCTGCCTCGATCTGCGACGGCAGATGGAGCTCGGGTAGTCGGGAAGAGACCGAATTTGGCACGTAGAAGCGCATGGCCTGTCCATGAGATTATCCATGTCCTCGCATTTGATCACTTCTCAGCTGCGCTGGTTGCCAGGTACTGGACTGTATGTACCACTGACTCATCTCGTTGCATCTTCCTCGATCATTTCATGGCATGTCATTTCTCAGTGGCACCGAATTCTCCTTTCCAGTTACTGCCTTTGGCTTGTGCTTTCACGTTCTGTGGGCTGCAGGTCTGTCTGTAAGTTGCCCTTATCTCTCTAATAAGTGTTCTGAGAGTAGGGCAACGGGGTGTTGTACACCGTCCCCCCGTGACTTCTGAACTTCTGTGAATCTCTTGTGAGTCCGGGACAACGTAGAACAGAAGGGCCTAGAACTGTTCTGCCTTCGGTCAGTCTCACTCATCTCACTCAAATCGGAGTATCTGATGCCTAGGGCGTGAAAGTGATATTATTTCAGACTTGTTCACACTAAAGTGTACTTCACGATTTTACGTTTGGTCGAAGGATTGTTTCTCGGAGATCACCGTCAGAGAGGAGGTCGACCTTGGCTAGTTGTTATTTTTGAACTTGTGGATCAGCAGCTGTTTGTTGGAACTCTATGAGTAAAGAGATGTAGCCGACTGGCTTTTACCTCGCTGCTCATCATAGCAAGAACTACAGGGACGTCTTGCAGTGTTGGCCGTGAGACCTTTGGAATCCGCAGGAGTTCTGTTTTCTATGGTGTTTGTACACGTGTGGACGTCCTTGTTCATTGTGGCGAGAACAGTTATCCGGCGTAGTGTTGGCGGGAGACTGTGTAACATCCTGCAATTGATGGCTAACCCTGAGCAGTTCACATTGACGAGAGTAGGACAGAGGCTTTCGAGTTGCAGGGCAGAGTGTGTGTCAAACAGCTAATTTTTGATGGGAATCTCACTCGGTCTTACAATGAAATTGTAGATCGTTATTCTACGATTCAGGAATTATTAGATTGCTGTGGTACTGTTCTCGAAGAGGGCGTTCTGTTGTCCCTCTCTTTTTGGACCGCTGTTTAGATGAGTGGGCTCCAAATTGAATGCCGAAAAGCTATGCATATTTATGCGTGGAATGATCGTGAGGAGTCTCAAGGATATCAAGATAAAACAAACCCAACAATTTCCACCTAGACATCAACTTAATGCGCAGGTACATAACGTGACTTTCTTGAACACCCCAAATCTTTCTTGAATGTAGTTATATTTAGCTCTGACACCATCAATATGAGTCTTTTGTTGTTGAGATTTGAACGAGAAGTCATTTTAGAGTGGTTCATCAATGTGGAGGCTTCCGAACATACACACTCTGATGAAATATAAGACGATCATTTTGAGGAAAATATGAATCTGTCTAGTTTTGAGGGTTCTACTGCTTTTGTCTGTGGAAGGAGAGTAATACACATACAAGAGAAGGTCCTACATGCTTCCTATTAGCTTGGACTGTATACGTCAGGAACTTTACCTGTTCTCGAATAGTTGCATCATTTGGTTGGCTTTCGATCGTTTCAGGCCCTGACTGTCTATGGACGATGATCCTATCTGCGTTAACGGTTGACTACTGAAGTCCCTGGGTCAGGAGGCTTATTGGAAGACGCTAAAACTGGCTTTTCGTGAAAAATATGCTATGTACACCAGGCTCCATCTTCTAGATCGATAGAGCATCAAACTAATCAGTGCAGAAATGCTCCTACTTCCTCAGACAGTTCGAGGGATGTTAAAGGTACCTCCGTGGAATGAACCAGTGGTGTCTTCCTGAAGAAAATAGTCTAACTGTATCCTCAGAGTACGGAAAGGCATGGAATTTTTGAAATAGGGCAGACAAGCTGAATTTGCGTAACATTCCATTGTTGCTCAACCAAAACCTTCCAGAAGGAAATATATGGGAATGTAACATGATCCCAGGCTGAAGAGAACAGCACAAATGGAACATTTCTTTTTTTTCGACTCGCTTGTAATGGGCAAACGCCTCGGATGAGATCTTTTCTCTCCATTATTACACCCAGGTGAGAAAGAATACTGAATCCAGATTGTGTAGAATAAAGTCGACTTTGGACGTCAGGCTCGTTGCTCCTGGATCGTAGCAATAAACCCGCTAGGCTTTCACAATTGAGAAGCTCGAACAATGAGCGGGAATTACAGTTATCTGACGACTTCAGTCTATTTCAGATCGCACCACCATGTCGTGGCTAGCGATGGGGCTTCCCACAATGGGTTATCATTCTGTATGTCTAATTTAGTTGAAGATAGGTTTACAAAGTGTACACATATGTGCAATGTCAGCCAACGGACAACCCTGTAAGTCGTCTTGCAAGACTTCTAGAAAATACCAGTACAGCTCCAACTCCAAGGCGTCCATACATGAACCAGGCCATGGCCAGTCTGTAGATACATCTGTAAAGGAGAAGCCATGCACAGCCCAGGCCTTGAATCCAAAATCCCTCCCACTTCAAATCCAACAGTTTGAGCTCCACCAAGGCTGTCGACCTGCTTTGCCATTCTTGCACAAACTCAGTTATTTTCCCTGTAGGCATACAGAACATGCAAGAGTTAATTCGTTGTTCTGCCATGACGTTGTTCATTCATAAATTGCTAGTCAGGATTAAATTGCACAAGCTTGATGGTTGACAGCTAACCCTTTCATTTGTGAGATATGATAATCCAATGTTGCTATGTGTGGGATACGAGAGTGGTAAACATCCGGTGGAATGGGTGAAACACGTTTTTTTAACAATGGACAACAGAAAACCAACTCACCTCTTGAGCTTTCATGGTTACACACTGAACCTAAGACTTGAAGCAACAAGTGGGAGAAAACAGGATGACAGATAAAAAGAGTGAATACAAGTATCTGAACAGTGCTGCGATTGATCCCAGTTTTAGTAGCCAATACAACACGTCCAAAGTATAGAGTGTTATTAAGGAAAAGTATGGACTACGCACTCACTACACAACAGCGTATAGCATATCCACTTTTACACGAACATAGCATATCATGAGCATGGTTTATCCATGATAGTCAGAAAGGCCAATCTCACATTCGAAGGAATGGAATGGAAGAAAGTCATATCGGAATGTCAGGTTTTTGTAGTCACTGGTATTATTAGTATATGTTTGTAAGACGACCAGTCATGAACTTTGGAAGTAAGTGCCAAGTGTATGATCCTGGTACGGGTAATGACGCAAATATCAGCATTCAACAAGATTGCAGATAGGGTTAATACGACGCAACACAAAGATGTACGTTGTTGACAAAACACAATCCTCGAGGAAGTTGGAGCGAATAACGGACAATCTAGGAACAAACTGAAGAGTATTGGATATTTCGTTGGTAGTGAGACTAATATTTGTATGATCTGCAATCGGTTTTCGAGCCTTTTCATGTATCCAACACGCAGCTGTGTTTATGTACAAGAGGCTAGTCAAACAAGTAGATTCTCTTTCATTACTAGATTTCTTTTCGTAAGACTAAAACATTTGCACTGAGGCTCGCTTCACTTAGGAGCCCCAGTGTCTTTCACCGAGTCACTTATACATTTTTTCCCTCGTGAAGAGAGGGATGATTTAACAATTTCGCAGAGCGGCCGCAGAGATACATGTACATCATCAGCACAGCTTCTGAGGTATGTGTAACGTAATGAGAACCCACATCCGATCTGGGTGCTAGAATCGCTTTTGCAGGGAACTAGCGGGGTAGGGGTGGTGTTGGCAACCCGTTAATCAGCATACTGACACAACATTACACTAACTATCATATAATCAGTCAAACCTGTCAACTGCACTGTCTGTTTCAGCGTGTGCAAGCTACGATCGGCTAACACATACTTACACACAAATAGGCCTCTACGAACTCTCCTCACTCTTGACAGAGTGCAGGTGAGAGATGAGAGGTAACTGACTAAAGTTCTAAGTACAAGATTATGTAGTTACACATTGAGATATGTAACTAACCTTTTGACCTGCTAGTTCCCCGGTCACTGATCACGATGGACATGTTGCACACAAACAAGTAACCACTATGAAGAACTATGAAGAGTAAGAAGTCTTCTTGAGCGAGATAGAAGCCATGGGATAGGGCTGGATGTACACAAACGTGAGTTTCTGGCCTGGTTTGAGAGTGGTCAGCCACTCAGGAAAAGTGAAGCTCGTTTGACTACCACTAACGGGGTTGAGTCCGTATACAGGCCCATAGAGCTGATTAAAACTTATTACGAAGTTCTTTAGATCCTTTCCGTGCTTGTTGGTAAAAGCGCCTTCGTATTTGTAATATGTTTTCCCACTTGCGACCCACGAGTGTTTGACCCACTGAGTGATATGGTAAGACTCGTCTGCCACATGAAAGAGTTTATCAGCTAATTTCCTCCTATACAGAAAAGGGTGCCCTTACCTTTCTCCTTCCAAACCTGCTTTGAGTAGGGAACGAACGCATAACAAACTCACAACGAGAACCAGACTGATAAGAAGGTAGGAGATAAAGGGTATCATAACTTACAGGGAACATTGTGATATGTGGATGGTGGTGGTGGAGGACTTCGAGGCGAATCTGGAGCCTTGGGTAGAACAGGAGTCCAAAATTCGGGCCGTTCTGCAATCAAACCAAGGAAGTCAAATATGATGAGTGAACAATTAAACCGCCAACATTATTCTCCTCGCACAATCTTCAGAAGGAGAATACAATGAGATGCTACAATATGTGCAGTCCTTACCTGTCTCGCCTTGGTACGTGGGGCCGACACTCAAACGGGCCAGCACACCGACAAGGGGTCCATTATTATACAAGCAGGCTTCTGTCATTTGATAGTTGTCACGATCATCGATGAAGTTATCGTTGGCGTCGGGTCCACCTACTAAAGCTCCAAGGAGAACATTTGGGTTGGCTTGTGGCTTCTTGTACCAGGTGGCATACCCGTCCTTACACTGAACATGGGCAGAGTCTACTTTGATCGACACAATAGAAGACCCACGATGGTGAACCTCTTTAGGGTAATTGTTACTGAAGCCCACCATGTAGCTCATTCCTCGTGGATTATGCCCCAAAATGTAATCGATCTACATGAAATCAGTCATTGTAAGTCAGATTCCAAAATGTTTAACAAACTGAACAGGAATTCCAGGAATATGAAACAGTTCGTCCGACAATCGTACCTGCTTCTGTGCCGTGCCACTTAGTTCAGATGTTTGAACGGGTGAGCCTGAGCAAGTGAGTTCCTGGTTTGCAGCCTTTAAATAGTCTGCGTAGACTGTCAGCAAAAATGCTGCTGAAGTCACAAATTGCATATTGTTCCAGGGCTGGATCCAGAACAGACCCCCGGGAGAGCGTTGAATGTTTTTGCCATTGTTCCTGCTTAAAGCGGCACACAGGAAGTAGGATGCTTGTCTCTGATAGGACTGGAGGGTGCTAGTGTGTGCACCTCCTCTACCTTGCATCAAGATCTGTTGCAGGTATCGAGTGAATAATCAGTCGAGGTGACTCACAATTTGGAACCAACATTTTCCATTGTCATGAGAGTGGAGACAGAAGTTACCCAGCAAAGAAGATTACGGTGATAAAGCAAAGAGGAATTACCTTCGAGGCCAGAACTTGAAGACCAGAGTATTTGACATCCCAGCCAAACTGAGTCATGGCCCAACCTGTTCCGCCAAGCTCCTGAGCCTTTACTGATGTATATTCCAGATAGTTCTCATCTCCAGTTGCCTCAAAAAGCCAGAAAGAAGCCCAAAGCAATTCATCCTGAAAGCGATTCATCTGAGTAGTCAGCGGAGACTGCCTGCAATTAGAGATCGAAGCAAAGAAAGAAAACTACCGCCACAAAGTTAATTTTATGCCCGAGAGAGAGAAGCTCACCCCGTAGCCACTGACAGACGGGTAGTAACCCTTTACGATGGGTATGCTTCTATCGTAGTTACCCCTGTGAGTGTCGCCAAATGTGAATAGCTGCAAACGAAGCACAATAGTCCAATCATCAGACGTCGATCTATACAACTTTTCGTTAGCAAGGCCATACGAAATCGTGTGCAAGATGACAAAATTCCATAGGCTTGCCTGTTTCGCGTGGGTCAGAAGAGTGTTCGAATATCCCGGATCAGAGTACTTGAACACTATGGACGCCGCTGCCATTGCGGCTGCAGTCTCTGCCACAACTTCAGTTCCTGGATTGTTGGCATCAACCTTGTAAGCTTGGCGAGACGTGGTCATGTCCTCAGGTCTCATCCAGCACTCGTGATCAGTGGTGCCATCTCCAACCTGTGAAAGGCGATCACTGTCGGTCACTATGGTGTTGAGGAATTTTACCGACGTGTTAACGATCGTGGACAAAAAGTCAAGGCAGATTGCCGAACTCTTCTTCTTCGCCACGTGAAATTGATTTTAAACTCAAACATTAACATCAGATAAAGCAAACGCTGTGAATTTGTAGTATTATACCAGCACTAAGACAATGACAGTCCAGACAAAGATCAGTCGCAGAACAAATATTCACGTCAAGTGGGCCCTTCATGCAGTGATTTTCGTGTGAGGCGACACCTGGCAGCACAGCGCGAACTGTGCCAGACTGAACCGCGCTATTGACGTGAGTACACTGTGCAATGGTACAATGTCGCCAGTGAGGACGCATAGAAAATTACAGGTCGATCTCTACCTCGGCCCAAAGAACGTTGGGTTCGGGGTGCGCTTTGATGAAGTAATCGGTGCCCCACTTGATGGATTTGAGAGCGTGGTCGAGTTGCCCTTGCTTCTGAAGCTGAGATCGGTATTCGATGACACTCCACGCCAATGTCGTGACTGTAAACGCCATAGGTAGCTGAAATTTCACGTTGTCTCCCGCATCATAATATCCTCCGACAAGGTCAATCTGCAATTTACGCGTACAAATGAGGAGGTATATACAGGAAAGAGCTTCATCAACACAAACCAACCTTCCCCTCCGTAGGTATCGTCATACAATTTCTTGAACGAGATTGAAGGGTTTGAAGCCAGGACATTTAAATGAAGTGACAACGAGCAATCTTCTTTATCTCGAAGAATTGGGTACGACATGCAAGTCAGCACAATCGAATCGTCGTGTAGGAATTTATCTACAATCTTCGTGCCATTAAATGAGTTTTCTTGCATGATAGTGTAGAATTCTACGTTCATTCAGTCTGTAAAAGGCAATCGTACAATCTCCGTTCTTCCTGCAATGAAGCCTGATTTTCTCTGACAATGTCAACTGAAAGCTAACAAGTTGCAACATTGACCACAAGTTTGAATTATAAGGTGGCAATGTGCGTTGTGTTCTTCAGCTACAGATATACTTTATCTAAGGACATTCACCTCACTTGAAGAAAATAAAATTCAAATTTTGCATTCATCCAAGAGAGATTACATTTGTTACTCCATCACGCTGTCGAATTATGTAAGAGATTTTTGCATTATCTATCAAACCTCCAAAAAAAGAATGATTTGCGACAGAATTCTCTTGAAGTGCTGTAGATGCATAGCATATGTGGCCAAACCATGAAAAAAATCAGTTTAGTGTGTACCAGTGTAGCACCAGTGTAGGCAACAGAATCATCGGTAAGAGGACATTAGTATAACATATCCCCAATTAGACTAATTGGACGAATGCTGAAACATTGGAAGATAACAGTCAAGGGCTAGAGCTGGCAGAACATCTCTCCCCAATCTTTCACCTCAATCACTCCCCAGATAACGTGGCGAATACAGAATCCAAAACTCCACTTCCGAAGCATGGAATAGATCATCGCCAGCGAGCACCAAGCCGAATCCAAAGACTGATGAGATAAATTTTGAATGCCAACAAGCGATGTGATTTTCTCGAGGGAGAAAGAGTGAATGATCGAGTCATACAGAGCACAGGTCCAAAGATAAGAAGGGCCTACATTTTGATCCTTGCCGTCGTTAAGACCGGAATGACTACGCCAGTTCACTCGTTGATCAGCCGGCAAATAACCAGAGCGCTGGGCCTCAAAAAAGTATAAGCTCAACCTCAAGGCCTCTGTGTAGTCCGGACTAGCTCGCGCAGGTCCGACAAGAGAGCTGAGTGCCAACATTACAGCGAAAGGAAACACACTCCACGTTAAACGCATTCCATCTCTCCCGTACTCCATCCTCAGAAATCCCATAATTCGGAGGTCTTAATGCTCGACGGATCAGAGGACTTCGCTGGTGAGAGGGTGTGTGCTCGGAATGCGAATGGTTTAGTGAGGGACCTGCATTCTGCTGTTGCTTCTAGACATCAGGAGACGATAGAGAAGGGCATCCTACAGGAGAATTCAGAAATGGATGGTGTACACGTTTTAAAGAGGGTGTCAACAGCCACACAATCTTGACAATGGACCGAGATCAGAAAAATCACTGCGACAAATTTCTTGGGTCAAGGAGGTGGACGCGATGTCGGTAAAGCGAATGTCGTCTGACAGATCGGAGTCAGAAACGTTGAGGTACCACCACCCGGCCTCGAGTGACAAACATTCCAATTCCCAAGGCACACGACACAAATGGGCAGAGCAGAGAAGAAATCTGAAGACGGTATACGGCAATGATCTTTGTTCGGATGTCCTTTCCGGGCTCGCAGCAGCAGGTGGACGGCTCAAGGCCCTCACCTCTGGCGTCGAAAGCTCCCAGATATTAGTAAACAAAATGTCCAGAATCCCACTCAGCCGGCAGCCTGTACGATAATACACTCTCAAACTTGTCGCGAAAGCAAATACACAAGGGAGCAATAAGTACTGAATGACAGTCAGTCAGAAGTGCATCTCTCTTCCCTCCAGGATCTCTTTTCGAACATCTTTATACACTCCAGTCTTGCTCCTTCTTCTTCTTCGCCGTGTACTCGGCGCGCAAAGACTAGAGGCCCACGCCGCCGGCGGTCCCCCGTTGCGTCCCCTCTCGTCTCCTTCCTCGCAGGCAAAGGCAAAGGCCGAGGGAGTCATGTCAGTGGAAGTCAGGCATATTAAATAGTAAGTAATGTGGATTTGGGGCCTCGTTGACGGGCGCAGCAGGGCCCACTGCCGCCGGGCGCGCGGGCGAGGGCGATGCGAGCATGGCTCGAGGAGAGGGGGCGATGGGGGCGGGCTTATGCGACTGCATTGTCGGCTCTTTCGGCATTGAGGCTCATGATGGACGAGCAAGGGGCACTCGAGCGGGAAGGCGAGCAGGGATCGGACGCGCTCATGCGAAGGCTGGGCGATGCAGTCCCACGGAAACGCGGCGCAGATCGATGGGATCCGAGTCGGCTACTCGCTCGACCGCCAACACCAGCGCCCAGATATCCGGCCCGCTTCCGCCCTCTCGACGTCTCGATCGTTCGTCGTCGAATCCATGCGCACGAAATCGGCTCCGAATCGCGAGTCCAAGAACTTATGCTGCCGCGGCAGCCGACGCACCACCAGCGCCAGCGCCAGCGTTTCGTTTTGTCAAGCAACTTCTCGAAAAAGAAAATACAAGAAGCAGTACGATCCGTATAATGATGCGGCTTTTTCTTTCTCCTGTTCTCTTTTCGTCTGTCATGGCGGCATGGCTTCGCTCGTCGCCCATCGTGATTTATTTCTTCGCTGCCGGGGCTCCCCCGCAATTCACCGCCGTCCAACATTCGACTCGTCCACGTCCACGTCCCCGTCCCGCCCCGCGTATATACCCCCGATCGGCGTAGAGTAGAGTAGAGTGGCGTAGAGTGGTTCAGCGTACGCTGCGACAGTGGGGTTGACCATTTATTGCGCAAACTCGCTACAGGACTACGACGACATGCGAGGCAGGTGATTGTTCACACGTGAAATACGAGGCCCCTCCACCGCCATGCTGTCCGCAGTTCGTTCTCTGCCCGGAGCTTCTGCGGTCTCCCTCTCGTACTCCAGAATTCGAGCCCTTCTGATCGCTTTTCCCGCACTTCTGTTCGAAGTTCGTCGCCCGGCGACCGGACTTCCACACGGTTCTCCTCAGCAGAAAACACATGAAACCTATTAGCCTTCGGAAAATACTCTGTGATCTTACTTCTGGATATATTCTCGATTGCTTCACCGAGAATCCGGCAGATATTGCGTTACGCTCCAAGAGGTCACTTGTTGATGCCATACAGCTTCTATAACTGTAATCGCCCGACAGATATTACATGGAATGAACGTACGAAGTACCTGTAATATTGTAGGGACCCTCCAACCTCCATCCATGTTTGCATCATATCATATCATGCTATTTCCGGTAAGTCGACGGCTGTGAAATAAACGATATGCACAATAACTCTACACGTTTCTTGATTTTACTGCAATCTCCAAATCACCCATGAAAAATTTACATACTATCGTAGTCCCTCACCATTTGACTCTCTGTTCATTGTGTTGATCAATGTCATATCCACCCTAAAAAGTATTGATCTTGATTCGAAAAGAATTCAAAGCGTGCAGCCTATATTCACAACTATATCGATGTGCTTAAGATTTGTTAAATATCTTGATTTTAATCCTCAAAATATACACTATGAAGGTTTTTTCCTTGTGAAAGTTTTTCTTCCTTTTTCAGTGTTAGCTTGCTCCAATATAGCCCACTTAGTCCATCTCCTACCACATCCCAACTATTCTTCCCAACTATTTCGACATTTAAATCCATGACTCACTAGATATGTTAAGTGAATGTATAACCTTCAGATACTCTACTTGTCACCTGTTTTCAAATACTGATATTTAATTTGGTTGCGAACTCTGCAATTGCAGTTATTCTTGCAACCTCCCTGAGCATATTTACCATTCCTACTTGTGCAACTTAATTCATTTCTATGGCTGAATTGATCACCGCCACTTTTATAACTAAATTATAAATGAACAATTTGTAACTATAATTACCATTGTGATTATCTTCTTCCTTTCCATTGTTTGGCCAGAATCACACATTTTTTTTTCACATACATATTTTGCAATTCAAACTTCTCGAATAGATTTATTTTTCATCATAATAAATGTATTACAGCATATCAAGTCAACAGATGAATGGATTATAGATATATCTTGCTCTTGACACGTGTGTCACGTTTTTAGATAAAATATATATGCACACCATCTTATGGTTTAATCTAGCAAAAAACTGATGCTATAAGAAGTTGTGAAATTTACTTTCAAGAATTTAGATTAACCAAGTATCCAAATTTTCCATTGAATAATGTAGTTATTGCAAAACATGCAAATGATACTGATTTATTCTGAAGAATAGATGCTATCTTTGTTGTTCAAAATTTTGCAATTAGAGGCCACGTCTTCAGAAAATCTGAGATAGAGAATAAGTGATATGATACAAAGTTGAAAACATATGACATGTTTTTTAAAATTTCAAGAAAAATTCTTATTTATAAAATGTTCGATTTGAACATAGAAGTAAAATTATCCTCACATCATGTACAGATGTTTGTAACAGGAAGTAAGAAAACAGTGAGTTAGTACAAGCTAGAGTTATGTAATCATAATATGCTTGATAATAAATGAATATTTTGTTAAAAAGTATAAAAATATATCAAATTGATTTAATACAAGATTTTGAATAAAAGACTTGATTGATTGTGATGTTTATGAATTAACTTTCATATTATGTATAACTTAATTTAATTACAATAAAATAAATAAATAAATAGATAAGTAAAATTTTAGGTTTAGAGTATATTTTTATCATTTGGTCTAGTGTATTATGAGAGAAAAACCTAAAAAGTCGATTTCATGTGATTTACATGACAAGGATATATATTTAACTTTGCATGTATTTGAAGAAAAAGTAGTTCTTATTATTTATAATTTGAAACAAATTTTTGCATCATATTGGAACAGAAATTAGTTTTCAAATAAAACATCACATATCTAAAATTCAAACATTATTTAATGCCTTCAAAAATTTAAATATAAACGGGATTATAGATGATTATTATTACAAATTTTTGCATGTATTATGTCATGTACTATTGAAATATATAGATTTTACGAGGTAGATGTTCACATATGATTGAAAAAATATTCAATCACAAAATAGAGGGATTTTTGGTAAAATAAAAATAATAAAAAATGCCAATAAGTAAATAAAACATGCTTACATAAAGCAAATTTTGTCTTTATTTGTAATAAAAGAGCAAATTGTTCCCTTATTACCATTGTCTTCTTACTGAATGATATCTTTATTGAGATTAAATTAAACCTTAATATGTTAGAAATCTTAAAAATTTTCAAACATGAAGCAATTTTGATTTTGCTAAAATTAATTTATACATATATATTCATGCAAATTACGAAGGATACAAGAAATATTTGTAAGGTAATAGGAAAGAAAAATGCTTGAATAACTTCAATATGACATATTTAAGTATGTGAGTATCTCTTTGTCTACTCATTCTAAGATCTTTATTATCTTTTGTTAATAAATTGCAACAGAGAAGTAAACAATGTCTAAGAGTCATGTAGATATCTTATCGTCTGGATATTACTGGATCTAGCATTTGATGTAGGTTGGTTTTCATATACATATCCAACTAGTAGACAGTGATGATCTATGGAGCAGATAACTAGTTTTCGAAAGATATCACTAGATTCAAACTTTTGATGCAATGTCTATCTATGCCGTGTCTCTTTTGGCGATGTGTATCAAATTATGCCAAGACTTAGATGAAATTTGATACTAACATACATACATGTACGAAGAGTTTAGTGAGTTAATCAGAACAGCTAAATATGCTACCGGAAACAAATGAAGCAATGTGGATAATCATTGATTGGAGATTCCCACAAGCTAATGCTAACCTGCATCGTAAGCCATACCGCGGAGAACCCGGTGATGAACAACATAACCATACGCATAAACTTCAAGCATCATCTTATAATAAACACATTGGTTTGTTTATTATACCATGAAAGTTTAGAAATTTCAGATAAATCAGAGTAGCCTACGAACAGCTTATTACGTATAGTCTCGTGAAGTTCACCCTCAAAGATGTACATGCAGTATGTTTATTATACAGTTGGGATCATCAGGGGAGTACAACCTATATGGTCATTGTGATATTAGCGCCTAATGTGATAATATATCTTGGTTTTATCCATGTCTTAACTTGCGAGGTCATCGATAATTTTTCTCTATTACCAACTGATAATAGAGAAAAGAAGTAAATTTAAGTGTTTGCCAATACATCCCAAAAATGGCTCCTAAAAAACTTGTTTCTATAACATGCTACTGTACATAGGTTTTGAGATTGAACGTCAAATTATGGGGTGAAACTGTAGCGTAGGTAATCCAGATCTAAAGATGATTCAAAGACAAATACCACAATCGAGATAAACCCCTGTAGAGTTGATAGAAGAAATAAAAGTACATGCTATGACGATGTCCTGTCCACTGAGAACATCTGGAGATGGAGAAAGTACAATTTATGTTATACAAGGAGAAGTGAGAGACAGTTGCAAGAAAAGGGACAATCATACAGTACCTCTGACGGTTGAAGAGGAAAAAAATCTATAAAAGAATCACAATCAGTTCGGAATTATTATCTTATCTTTTCCCACATTAGGGACCCCTCGAAGAGAACGCGAACACGTGCTCCTCGCAGATTGGTCAGAAGCGATTGACTGAAGCTGAAGGTTCAAACGTCAACTTGACAAGAGGAGACATGAAGCAACTGCCCCCAACTGAACTTCTGCCTGCTTCGCCACTCGCCATTGGCCCGTCGCGTTCGCATTCGCTCTACATTTCGCAGATTGCTCGCTGCGAAACTCCTGAAGATCCAGAGGCTCACACGCAGAAGAATCATGGCGAGAGGGGCCGGACTGGGGATGGAGAATATTTCGCGGATTTCTCCGACACCGATTTGTGGAACGATCGACGCCTTCGGAGTGCTGCCCACGGGGTTCTGAGGAGCGCACGTTGACGCGAAAGGAGTGGAACTCGCGGAATGGGGGGCGGCGATTGGCAATAGATTATTAGGCCGAAAGTACAGTGCAGTCTGAAGTCACGCACTTGTGTGCCAATGTGCGGCCACTGGGCAAGAGTGCGGGGTGAAGTCAGACGTCGGTCAGGCACATTCCTCGTCGGCCACTGGGGCGAGCGGAGGGCTTTCGCAGTCAGAGAACGTGTAGCCGAACGAACCCTAGATGAGGGCGGTGATTTGGGGAGTTCGGCTTTTGAATGTTCGGCGCTCATGGAGATTAGAGCGCCGCATCTCAGTAATGTAATGCGCCTGATCATGTGTGGGTGCACAAATTTTCCGCCGTACAATAACACAGTGCGCACTGTGCTTCGGATCGTTCTTGTGCCGAATGTGCTACTGTCGTGCCCTCTGTGATTTCCACTCTGTGATCCGGCACGTGAGAATCCGGGGAGCTCGGCGAGTCGCTCAGACGGTCCCACGAGGTTGATCTTGTAATTACCAGAACCGTATCCGGGCATGATCAGGAGACGATTTAGGGAATGAATGGATGATCTCGAGAGTAGATCTTCTTGATGTGGATTTCGGACTTTCTTCATACGCTCCAGAGTCCCTCCTGACTCTCGTCATGAGTGCTCTAATCCGTATCAACACATTACTCCGTATCCCCAGACGTACTCTACAGCCCAATCCATACGTGCATGGCATGGCACTGCATTGCGTGCATGAGCCGAATGTTTCCAAATGCTCTTTTGTCGGAGGTTGGAACAACAAATGCTTCGAGCCCCCCCACAAATGCATTCATCGTCGCGTACAGCTTCACGTACTGTACATTTTTACAACGGAGATCAGTTGTGGCTTTGAGACGTAGATGGGTCGAAGCCCATCCCTCTAGTGTGTCTCAATTGTGGAATAATGACCCGGAATCTGGAAGTACGGACACCATCAAGGCTCGGTGGAGAAAATCCCGGCGATGAGAATGAATATTGGACTTCAGTAAATAAAGTGCAATTGCGCAGAAAGAAAGGAGAACCTCAAGAAATCAGGAACCTCCGAAAAAGATTAGAGTTCATCGAGGGTTTGGGGTTTTCCATACCTGCTACGGCATATCAAGAAGCTGGCTGAGCCCCGGAGGATACTCCCAAGGGCCTCGATATGAAAGTCCCCGAATCCATTTGCTCCCAGGCCTTCATTCACTCCTCACCCCACCATGTACTAACCCAACATGTCAAGACGTATAAAATATTGGACCGGATGTGGAGCCTACATGGCAACAATTAATGTGTACCGCATCTTGAGTTAATACTAGAAATTGGGTCCGTGTCTCGTTTCATGTACACTTGTGATTGGGAACTGCGCAGTGTAAGACTTCTCTCGTGTTCTTGTCCTGGGGACATGTCTAAAGATCCTGTCAGGTAAGTCCATTTCTTCTCGTTTCACAGAAGCGAACGAAGTGGGGATTAAATTTTTGGATGCTTTGCCGGGGATTTTGGCCATAGCAGACATCGGGGCTGCTGCGGAACATCTCATCAGGTGCTTCGAGTTGCCCGACTGCTCGGAGTTCGATAATTTCGAAAATATACGAGAAATGACGTATACTTTCGCTTGAGCACAATCAATGACGACAACCGAATCTGAGCTCAGTTAGATGTAATTGGCGGATAGCTAAAGACGAGCCTGAACTCTCTCATCACCTCTGATAAAAACTCTTCTGGCATGGTCAAGCATAGAAAGGCGGGTTCATCGCAGTCAACGGCGATACAGCGTCGGGATCTTTAAAAGATCACGAAGAGGTCGGTACAGTCAAGATGGTATAAGTTTTGACTGCCCTGACTATTCACAAGAGTTCGTTAGGCTCGGATAACGACTTCAATCCTGGTACGATGAGACATTTCACCTGTTAGATCCAATTATGATAAAGAAAAGACTGCAGCAACTGGAAAAAGTACTCGACGTGTACGAAAAACACCAGGCTGATAAAAAATATCTGACTGGGAGCTTTTTCAGCCTAGCCGACCTGTCTCGCATGTCTTTCACCGGATGTCTGATCAGGGCAGCCAAGAAAGGCGAGCTAAATCAACTCGAGAAAAACGTCCAACCTTGGTAGGAAAGATGCTCTTCACGAGATTCTTGGAGCAAGGTCCGAATGAAACAAGTGAAGTACAGAAGCTTGACAGAAATCTCCAGCCATTGTGACAGGGCTCTTGAGATTCTCCATTTCACTCTATATGACGAACATCAAGAATCTTTGTCGCAGGTTCCAAAGCTGGTCCAAAGTTACCTTGTGCATGGCGATGTCCCAGACACTCTCCCGTCTCGATTCGAAGGTGGTCAGGTCATCAGAACATTATGACAACTGACTTCAATACACTCATCAGATGCAAGCCAGCGGCTCTTTTCGTGATCATTACAATGGTACCGTTTCTTCGATAGACACGATGACTTACAGAAAGTAGGGAAAGTTGAAGATCAACGACGCAACCGGAACCATTTTGGAGCTTTAAAGAACAAAAGTGCCACTATCGAGAAATCGAGGCTGAATATTGTATTGTGCGGCATGCGCATTATATTTCTCCATAACGAGTACAGGAAAATTGGCACGTCAGCCAATGTCAGCTTTTAGCCATCTTGACATAGGCTCCCACTGCTCGCTTTCTATGGTCGACTAGAAAGAGTCCCTTCTGACGAGGTTTATCACCCCTAAGTTCAGCGAAGTTTACTGCAGTGATCATTCGTGGTCGAATGTCAATTCACTGATGCAAGAGCAAAAACTTCTCGAGTTTACAGACAATGATGGTGAACATAGCAATAATTAGGACATTTCCAAGTAAATAGAGGAGCACAAACTTTGTAACAGCAATGTGGACTGGCCATATGCATGTGGCTAGAGTCCACTCTTGAATGATATAATGATAACAAAGCCCTGACAAGATGAAGGGCGATTCTAATGGCAGTCTATAATTTGAAGGCTAAGTACCGTTGTCTAGCCGCAGATTTAAAGGGTTGTTCGATGGTGTAGGATACTGCATCAAGACCTGAAGCTTAGTATATACGGGACTACTCTGAAGTAAAATTGCCACCAGTTAATTGCCAAAAATTCGTCACGGGCTAAACTCTTGCACTAACATCAGACTGCACAACTGCAAAAAAAGTCCTGCTCACTGGCTTGGAACCTTCTCATGCATGGCATAACTACCCTCATCTATCAAATCTCTCAACTTTCTATGTCATTGCATGTTGGCAACAGATTCTGAGGTTTTGTCATCAGCCATGCACGAGGGTTTTGTCGAGTGATAGAAGAGGTGTGAGGTTATCTGCAACAGCTCGTCTGCCGATTTGACACCTGCACTCAAAATCCACGAGGATGGGTTTCCCTAGCCTTAAAATCCGGAATAGAATCAAAGCGCGACAAGACAAACCCAGTTATGCGAACAGCAACAGATCTTTGAGCACTTATATGAACTCTTACCCGTCATGCGGTAGACAAGCTTTCCCGCATTAATAAACAGCAAAGTAGGAACTGTTTTCATTTTCAAGGCTGCAGCAAGATCCGCTTCGATATTGACATCCAGTTTCACGGCCTGATCACAAATCAACACCGGCTATTAGATGCAGCTTACGAACGTCAAAGGTTGTTGACCTAAAGACGTCCTCCCCTATTCTTGCGTAGTACATCAATATAGGTCAAAAAGTGATCCACATCATGTAACATACCCGCACGGGATACTTTCGGCTGTCAATAATCCTCTTGATCATGGTCTCCAGCTCCTTCAATAATGCCCAGCCATCTACTCCACTGGCACCACACACAAAATTGCAGTGGTAATCGAGCGTCACTGATAAGGAGGCAAGTCTCTGAGAACTCATGCACCACTGCAGGTCAAGTGTCAAATGCTTCGACGAACTTTGCACTGCAACTTGACAATAAAGAGGCCGGAGGGAAACACTCCTCACCTGGAGCCATATCGTTCAAAACCGAGGACGATAAGCGGAGTAGGGTCTTGCAGGGCAACTAAATCCCACTCAAGAAAATTTATTTCTCGAACTATCCATTGATACTCTTCTTGTTCCCACTTGAGAGACAAGTCCGTATCACCTTCATCATCATCATCAGTCTTTCCCTCTTCGTCTTCAATAATTTTTCCATCGTCGTCCACATTCTTCACTTTCACCTTCCCCCACTTTTCGAAAAACTGTGAAACTTGGAATCCGTAGCCATCGTCTTCGCCCTCAGGCCAGGTGGGATCATCTTCTTCCATAAACATGGGATAATCATCTTCCTCGTCATCGTCAGTCTGCTCATCCCTGCTATCTTCAACTTGCACAGGTTTCGACGCAGCACACCTATATCTGAGCATTCGAAACTGAACTCTGTTATGACGAAGCTGCCAGGGAGACAACGTTCATCCACTCTCGAGAGTCAAATATTGCGTGACTTGGTCATTTAGAGCCGTAACACTGGCTGGGTTTCAAGAATTCCAGCCTCTACAAATACAGAATAATATAACCCCCATTGGTGCAAGTAAGTCGGCCGGTGTCTCACCAAATGTCAACTTTCCCAGAGATTCATCACTAGCCTGACACCGGGCCGAGTTGCAAACAGTGCATCGAGAAACCTCGAAATTCATAGCTGCGAAAAGAAACTTCGCAAACGCTCAATTATGAGCAGAGAAGTTTCCGCTACCAACTAAAAGAAACCGAAAAATTTAAATTCATATATACAGATTGAGAAACCCAGTGGACCAAACTCAAATTCATACACACCTTCGGAGTCGCGACCATCCGGAGAGCAGAGCTACGAGAAGGTGAACACTCGGAGAAAAACTCCGCACGAACGGGGAGGGAGGCCCTAAAATTCTCGCAGGACTGGCATCGGGGACCTCTTGCGCCCGAAACAATAAAATTCGGCAAAATCGCAGCGGCTGCCATCGCCCCCGTGCTCGATTTCTCGAGCTACCGCGCCGCCCCTGCTGTGGCCTTGCGCAGCGACGGGATCCCCTTCTCGGCGGGATACTGGGAATGCCCTCCGGATTCAACCGACACGTGTCGTCTTCTCTGCCAAAGTTCGCTTTTGTCACTCTAGGCGCAGGTGACTCCTCGCCAGAAACAGAGTTCCGTGCCGGTGATTCGGATTACGCGTTCGAATGCGCATCTTCTCCCAATCTAAAGACAGTAAATGAACATATTTCCTAAATAAAAAGGTTCATTAGGCCCTCTCGATACGATAGACTCTTCATGTAGAGATCTGATCGTTCCGTTCTTGTTTCGCAAGGCGAGGAGACAAATTCTTTTGTATGACTGCACGTCCGTTCATCTTTGCAGTCGCGACGTGAATCTTTTCCTTTGGAGCTATGGCGTCACTGAGCTGTGCCTTGCTCCCGTCGCCAATCACTACTACCACCCGGTAAGCATTCACAGATTCTCTCAGTCTTACATTTGTGCTAAATCGAGCGTTTACGAAGGCGTGACTGGCGTCGGGAGATCTCGTCGAGGGGAGTAGCACTGCGAGGCTTGCTGTCAGACTGCAACGATGTCGTCGATCTCAGGCAGTCTCCGCGTTTCGGGCATAGCAACTGAGTGTACCGAGAGGAGAAGGAATTGCATTCAGCATTTTGGTGGTGGTGGGTGTGCCCTGTGTGGTCGTTGGGGTTTAGTCACGGCTGGATAGTGAGGAGGTTTTGTGTCTGGTGCTGTTTTTTTTCTCGTGGTGCTAGAAATAACTGGTTGATTAGTAACCCTAGAGAGTTGCAGGAGGAATTTCGCGACCTCTGTGCGGCGGTCCGGGGCATCTGGAAGTCTGAAGTGCAGCGTAGTAAGGGTCACTGCCGCCTTGGAAAAGGAAAGAAGCTACAAGGTGACTTTGCTGCCCGGCGATGGCATTGGACCTGAAATTATGCGAGTGGCGGTAGATGTCATGCAAGCTGTTGGAAGACGCGAAGGTAACCTCGAAGGAAAATATTTCTAGCTATTTTTGTCATGATTGACAGTGCATTGCCGTATTCCATTTTTTGATGCACGGGATTATTCCTTTCTTACTTCATTTCAGTGAATCAGATCATTTCAGAATTTTTTCTGTCCTTAAATATTACGACTTACTCTTTCAAAACTCCGCTGGATGCAACAAATATGAGATTTTGGAACAGTTGCTCTGTACATGTCTCCTTGTTGGTCATTTTCGTCGAAGAGGATGCGATTGGTTGCTCGTATTGTTTCACAAAGCTAACTGCAGAGCTGCTTGCGTGAATGTAGGAATCACTTTTGATTTTACAGAGAAGCTGGTGGGAGGTGCTGCGCTTGATGCTCTCGGAGTTCCTTTGCCTGATGACACTTTGGCCTCTTGTCTTGAATCCAATGCGGTTCTTCTTGCTGCTATTGGCGGGTAAGTCCCAGCTGTTTTTCTATCCTAAGCATTGCCCTCGGAAAACTTGGTTTGCATGTTATATGGGACATATACTCATCTGAAAGCAATTATAACCTCGAGCATAAAGAGCTCGAGCTTGTAATGGATCTGTTTGCAAAAACATCTTGGGTTTCGGTTTTAGGGTTTAGGTTTTCGACGTGGAAGATTTAGATTGTTGAATGTCAGTAGCTTGAAATTTTGAATACTTTTTTCCTTTGTGTAATATTTTTCCGTTTATTTGTGTTTCCTCTTCGTGGTGCTCTCTAATTTGGTTTCGTTCAACGAAATTCAAAGTCTTTTTTTTTGTTTATGGCTGCTTAGTCTTGGATGTAAGGCCATCTACATGTGCAAGTGTCTGCTATCTTCTGATTTCAATTCATCTGTATCAAGTAGTAAAAGCGGAACACACCACACAAGTTGTTCACATTGCCCGTCCTTTTCTAGGCCTTATCACGACTTTGCGAATTCACATTCATGTTTTTGGTTTCAGGTACAAATGGGATTCTAACCCGCCTCATTTAAAGCCAGAAACAGGACTGCTTGGACTTCGTGCAGGGCTAGGAGTGTTTGCAAACCTGCGTCCTGCCGTTGTGCTGCCTCAGGTCTGAACATCGTTTTCCAGTTCATCATTCGTAGGTTCACTGAAGTTTAAATATTTAGCGCCATGTTCATTGTTCTTGGAGTTTAGGGAATATTTGAGAACCTCTGCACGTGGCCCTGAAATGGTTTGAATGTGTAGATACGCTCCCCTTTCTGAAAAACAGGGCAGATCTGCAACTCAATATTGCCGATGTGCCCATGCTTTTCAGTTTCATGTTTGGGTATATTTAAAATTCTGCTTATTCGAAACATTTTGAGTCGAGCTGAGTTGACTTATTCTGGTACAAACACATTGGCAGCTAGTCGATGCCTCTACTCTGAAGCGAGAGGTTGCAGAAGGCGTCGACATTATGGTAGTTCGTGAACTAATCGGAGGTATCGTAATGGGATTTTCATACCCCCCAACCTTAGGGCATCCATGGATCGTTAGCACCAAGTCGGGATTTTATCCAAATGCACATCGGTGGTCTTTACTTTGTTTTTGAAGGAGATGGCCTTATCATTGTCCCACGTGTTTTTTGTTTTGATTTCTAGAACTGGATCCTGGTCTTTCTGTCAAACCTTTTGCTTATCAATGTCGCGGTGGCTGTCGTCCGGAGTCTGACTAGTTCTTCTCTTCTGCTTACGTCTTTGCAGGTATCTACTTTGGAAAACCTAGGGGATTCGATGTCAACGAAACTGGGGACAGGTTCGCGTTCAATACAATGGTCTACTCTACTCCAGAGGTAAGCAAACAATCTACGGACTGGACGCGGTCAGTCCCCAAGGACCCTAAACACCACCAGACTTCAGACCCCCTTCGAAGTTATCTCCATATGTCTCTCTCCGGTTAACAATTATTTTATTCTGAACTTTTAGGATCGGGAAGCTTACGTGCTCATGTTCATCTCAAAGGAGACAATGCAGTCAAAACATATGCTTCAAAATCGATTTTTCTTAATGGAAAGACAGCAAATTGCTGGTGCCAATTTCTAGCCCGTATTTATTCCCGTAGATAATTATAACAATGCGATCAAACGTAGATGGAACGTTATGAACACTGAAGTAGATCAGCCTAGGAGGCTGGCTGGCAGTTTTTGCATCCAATCCGAGAGGAATATGGAGATTTAGGATCCATGTTGGGGTTGGCTTTTGTTTGTTTGTAGTTTGCTTCCCACTCTACAAGGCTCGATATGATCCACACACGCGCAAAGTATGTGTCTTCTGTCTGGAAGATATGTGAGTAAGGAAATACGAACTTTTGATTTTGGCTGGCAGATCGATCGAATTGCAAGGGTTGCATTTGAAACCGCTCGGAAGAGACAAGGAAGACTTTGCTCAGTTGACAAGGCCAATGTTTTACAGGTAATCTTTTCATATACTGTTCTACTTACATCTTTGTGGTTGTAGCTTCATCGTATTTTTCGCTGCATTCAAATGATTCTCCGAGTCTTACTAGTGTTTTTTTCATGGATCTTTTAAAGTCTGTTGCGTATTTTCTTCTGAGGATCTCACAGCACTAAAAAGAAATGCATACGGCCTCTTGTGTGCAGGTATCTCAGCTGTGGCGTGAGCGTGTTACTGCAATTGGAAAGGAAGAGTATCCTGATGTTGAATTATCCCACATGTACGTGGATAATGCGGCCATGCAGCTTGTCCGGAACCCAAAGCAGGTGCTAAATAAAATGGCATATTCAAGTGATGAGCAGTTCAGCAATTTAGCTGTGTGACACTGTCTTTCATGCTGAAGTCACCGTTGGTGTCAAAATTTTTTAAGTAGGCTTCTAACACACTTCGGTTATTTCATACGGCTGTCCTTTCTCTGTAGCTCTAACGTAAGCTTTTGTGAACAGTTCGACACCATAGTAACCGGAAATCTGTTTGGAGATATCTTATCCGACATCAGTTCAATGCTTAGTGGGAGCATCGGCATGCTTCCATCATCGAGCATGTCGGAGTCGGTACGTTAAAGATGTCCAATTCAGAGTCTCTTACCTTTGCAAAATAAGGCCAAGCTAAGTTCCTGAATCTTGATATTGATAAAGACCTGTATACGGTGCCTCGTATCGTCTATTGGTCAATCGTTGAATTCGTTTTGGTATGTCAACAATTTTTACCTGAAGTTGTTCCGGAATGTTTACAACAACTGTTTATGGTTTCAGGGTCCTGGTTTGTTTGAGCCGATTCATGGATCTGCTCCAGACATTGCCGGCACGGTAAGAATTTTTTAACTGTCAATTGACGTTCAATTGGGAATTCAGAGCCTTTGTGCATGGTCAATCCTTTTTTGAGTTCTGTACTCTTGTTTGATCGAAGTTCTTTTAGCGTTCTCCTAGTTCGTTCTAACGTCACCATCGTGCAGGACAAGGCGAATCCACTAGCGCAAGTACTGAGCGCAGCCATGATGTTGAGATACGGGCTCGGTGAGGTCAAGGCTGCAGAAATTATTGAGTCTGCTGTATCGTCGACTCTAGACAAAGGCTACCGCACAGGGGATCTGATGTCTGCTGGCAAGGTAGAGTTCACGACTCCCTTCTTTTGAAGTAGATCTTTATGATACTTATTTCGCATTGTCTGCATGGTATTGTAAAGTACGAAGTTCAAATGAAATAAAACTTTCTGTTGTACATGACAGAAAAATTGTGAATTTGACTGAAGTTTTTATGCATTTTTGTGGTCTAAATATTGTCGTAGGTTTTCTTGTCATTCTTTCTCCATTCTCTCACTACATTCGCTATGTCAGAGCCTAACGAGAGACATGGAATGTTCATCGTTTGCAGACTCTGGTTGGATGCACGCAAATGGGTGAAATTCTTCTTGATGCATTAGAAGCTTCTTCAACGGTGACATTGTCTCATTGATTTAAAATGGTTTGAGATTCAAACCTTGTCTAGGCCATGATGAACTTAGTCCGGGAGATGGACACAATCCTCGGTTTGCTGTTATCAATGAATAGCGACTGCAGTTCTTTCATTTGTCTAGAAATTTTTCTAGCTAGAAATTGCTTATCGTTAGTACGCTACATGTATTAGACTCATATTGTGTAGGGATTAAGCGAATAGTTATCAGTTTTTTGGTATGTTGAAGAATTATTGTGTATGGCAATCCGTGTTATTATCTTACCCTTAGAACTTGGGTAAATGTATTGCTTCGGGAGCCATTTTAGATCTTTAGGAAGAGCCCTATCTTTTTGGGATGTATTTTTATGTCTGGAATGCATCACTGGGCGATTAACTGCCCGAAGTAAATTTTTGAGGAACAAGTGAGTAGAGAATATTCATCCATTTTTGTGTTTGACTTGGACGTCTTTGTGGTTAACTGTATAATGTTGTTAGCTTTCCACAAGTGCACGTTTTTTCCCTTGTGGGCAGCTTCTTTACGCATTTCTGTGTAAAGATCTGCATCTTGTTACATGAACGAAGATACTGAAATGCCTTTTCCTCTTACGCGTCTCAACCGACGTTGCACTTCCTCATAATCTCATCTCTTGACATTCGACTATATCCGGTCTTCGTGTTCGTACTGCTTCCTTTAACACGGGTTTGTTCTACTATGGAAAGAACGAAAGTGGTTTGCACGCCTAATTTTTTCTTACGTACACAGTTGACGTGTGCGAATTGATTCCCTCCCCCTCTCTCTAATCCACACTCATCCTTCTATTTCGTTTTTCCTGGTACACTGTGAGTGTCCCTCTCCATTCGGCTTCTTACTTTCTTCTGCAAGCTCTGTTTTTACATAGTCTAAAGCATATTTCATGATTCCTCATCCATATGTTGTTTTGTCTTCCATGGTTTCGTGATAGCCAACTGCAAACTGGATTTACACCTAAAAGTGGACAGAAAGAAACCCATGCGTGAGGTTCTTTGTAGTATATTCAGTTCGAACTGCGCGACAATGACAGTTAAAATGTTGCGTTCTAATCCCCACGACTATCTTAATATATATTATCTTGTACTGTATCGGAATTTGGTTTTCATGCAATTGATCTATTTTATTCGCACTCATTTTAACGTGTCTGCTGCTACCACAAGTTATTGTGATGCAATAGTTTCATTTCCTCACCTTACATCCACTACGCTGCATTCAGCTACTGCGTACTTGCACCAATCTTTGTTGCTTATTTACATTTTGTGGTTCTGGCTTTGGTGCTACGGGGTCGCCCCCACATGTTTCGTTCTTTTGGTACTGTACGCTGCTAACTGCAGGATAGTGACCAGAATACCAAAGCATGTCGAGTTCTGCCGGCCATAGTACACACTGGTCTCTGTTTTATGGTTAAGATTTTTTTTAGATTCTAAAAAATTATGCTGGCTGTTTCTCATATTTTATTATTTGTACGCACTTTGCTGCAGATGGCATTTTGTCTTTCTTTTCGCCGCATTCTCATTTTGCACATTATCGAGCCGAGTTTTCCTTTTTCTGAATAAGGAGCTTGCATATGGCAGACTATTCTTTCCGATTTACATGTCATCGCTTTACATCTACATGGTTTTGTCTATTCTGCAGCTACTAACCTTACTATTTAAGAGTATGCATTGTTGATTGCTGTCGTCTTTTTTCGATACATACGTGGTATTTAACAAGCTCACACCTGCAAATAGGAGAGATTTGCTTGATGGGACCCCTCAGGTTTAGTCTTACCCGATGGGACCCCAACGACGGTGTGCCGTCGGACATAGTTCTTGTAACTACGATTACTTCTAGTTACAATGCGAGAATTACAATCAGAGATCAATCCATGATTACAATTTCTAGTGGATTATCACGGGGACAAAGATCGATTTTGCTCGAAGTGCAATTTGTTGTGCTTCAATTCTTCCGATCGTAAAGATTCACGGATTTCTCTGTTGACTCCCACCTGCACACTCCTTCCGTAACCCTGCGTGGTCCGAGTTCAAGTCTCGCGATCACCCATTTGTGGCGAACAAATAAACTCCGGATGAACATTTCTTTGCTCGTCTCCTTGAAAGTGGCCGGATACAGAATGACAACATAAAAACAAGTGAGTGTGATGGAGTGCGAAGTCCACTCTGTCTGCGGGTGCGGTGGACTCGTTGCACTCTCTCTAGATGTTATTAGAACATGGGTGACGGTGCATTGTTCATGGGGTCCCATCGGGTAAAATGAAACCTGAAGGGTCCCATCAAACAAATTACTTTCCACAGGGGTCCCATCAAGCAAATCTCTCCTGCAAATAGGGAACTAAGTATACAATTTTGAAAGGTCAGAATGTCTTCAAGGCAGCCAAGTACCAATTGCTGTTTTTGGACAGCAAAGATAAAGATTAACGATGAACGATTTAATCAAAATGTTAGGAGAGAGGTCTGTCCCAACGGTTAAGAGACAATTATTATGCCTGCATGTCGGCTTTAGATGGATGATGACAGCATCATTTCGCAAAACTGGCATAAATAAGATGATAATTGGGCAGAGAATAACAACATGGTTTTTCTACGGTGTGGACTGGTAAGGGGATTAGTTGTCATACCCAATATGAAGTGTCTGTTGTTTTGGGTTGTAATCCAAGAATATTAGTGGGTGTAAAGATGTAGAGATGAGGCCGAGGAGAAGATCCTCCAATTTCCTGTGTTCTAAATTATTATTACTCACCTTGAGTCTTTGTAAGTTGCTCCATGAATATAACCAAAGACTTTCTGTAGCATTTTATAGTCCGTCTATTTGTTGTGAGTTAAGGACCAAAGTACAGATTGGAAGAGAACAGATTTGCGAGAGATGCCTGTAGCATTTTATAGTCCGTCTATTTGTTGTGAGTTAAGGATCAAAATACGGACTGGAAGAGAACAGATTTGCGAGAGATGTCTCCACGCACTCGTTAATCCACTGGTCCATATGTCAAATTGTGTACTTAGGTTGACATTGGGAACCTTAGTTGGTTCAGTGTTAAAACTTCCCAATGGTGTCATCTCTTGTGAGTGACATCCTCCACTAGTCCATATTGTCAAAATGTGTATTAAGTTGGTATAGAGTTGAACCTTCCAATAGTGTCACTCTTATGAGTGACATACTCCATTAATCCATATTGTCAAAATGTGTATTACGTTGGTATAGAGTTAAACCTCCCAATAGTGTCAACTCTTATATGAGTGACATCCTCCACTAGTCCATATTGTCAAAATGCGTACTAAAGTTCATATTGGAACCTTAGTTGTTACATAGCTAAACTTTCCGATAGTGTCATCTCTTATGAGAAACATACTCTTATTAGTCAAAATGATTTCTAAGCTAAGTTTAACGTTGACTTAGTGACTAGAAAATTTTTAAAATTTTCAATAACATATTTTCATTTCAATTTAGGATTCCAAAAATTTCTAAAAAATTTAGGTAAACCAATGACATGATGTTACGTATAATGGACTAATCAAAATTACTTAGGTAAAAATAAGTTAGAAAATATTATCACATATTATTATGATTAATTCTCAAATAATATATATAAACAGTTAAATAATAATTTTTCAATTAAGTTTGGAGAGTTCATGTGTAAAGATTTATTTCAAGAATGAAATAGTGAGGTTTTTTAGTATCTTGAAATGTTAACGTGTATTTGAGTTTGGATAAATTGAATGATGTATGGAAAATTTGTGTGAGTATATATTTTGAACACAAATATAAATGAGAATATTAGTCTTTTAGAATCATGATAAACTACCACAAAATCATATAAAATATAAATCGTATAAAATTAACCTTAATGAGAGTCAGCCCGGAAGTTACAGTACTGTTAACTCAAAAGACTGTAGAAGTATACAGTTCCGAAACAAATCTTTGTAGATCACAACCTAATATCACAAAAAGACCTCTTGCTATGTTTCAAATCTAAGACATAAAAATCTTCATGTATGGAATATTGATTATATGAGAGATAGAGCTAGTTTTGCTAACTATTATATCCTCGTCTCAAAGAATCCAAACCCTAATTCATAGGTGGTAGTCTAATACTCTCAAAAGACAACAATCTATACACAATTACATCACCCAAACTATTAATTATTGTAGTAACGGTTCATTAATGTAGGTTTGAGTGGTCATACCGCCGTAACATGGTAGATTCTGAAAACACCAATGGATAGTAGCTATCGACGTCTGTTCTAACCTTCAAAAAACTGTATCACATACCAGTTCATACATTAAATTTTTGACTCTCAGATAGATCCAAATAATGTAATTTCAAAAACTTATGGCCGAAGATCTCACGTCCACCCTGGATGTGCAAATGAAAATGAGATGACAAGAAAAACTACATCAGGCAGATCCTCTCCTTGTACTGCCAGTGCATACCACATTCAACTCAAAGAGGTGCTAGCGCAGAGGCTGCCATGGCATTACGATCACAGACCCGCGTCTTCGATGGCAAGTGACCGAAGCAAAAGGATTTCTGGACTGTGAGGTAGAACTATGTGGGAATAGGAAACAAATAGATTGTTATTCCCTCTTGGCAGTAACAACAAGGTCTACACCTGTAGCTATCGTAGCCACCTGAAATGTTGACTCTACTTCCATATCCGAAGTAATCTGTCATCCCCCTTTCATAGGCATATGGCTGTGTACCTCAACCTCCAGAATTCTTGAATCCCGCACCAGCATATGGAACATCCACGTTCAAATCCAAACCCGATGAGGCTTTACTTCTGGATGTTTAATAGAGCGACTTGCTCCATCGTTCAATTCTACTCTTAAATGTGACGGACCGAGTGGCTGAAATGATGAACCTGTTCCATAACCTCTATTTGGTTTCTCGTCATGAAGTTGCGATAGTCCAACACTCTTCCAATCATTCAATCTCTCAAGTTTCTGTTTATTCACCTTCGCACCGAGAGAATCCTCACTGTCAACATCCTCACTGTCAACATCGCTATATCGTCTGCCATGGGAGTTATCACTTGGCCCGAATGAGACATCAGAATCATGCAGAGAACCCTTTGCTCTACTCCTGTCGTGTAGGAGGCAAATTTCTTTAGATCCTCTTTGTCTTTGTTTGACTCAGAGCTTCCTCAACCATACCAGTCTGAACTTGACTCTTCGCCTTTCCTACTTTGTCTAATGCGTAGTTCTTACTATCTTTTGTTTTATCAGCAACAAAATTTTTTAGCTTCCTATTGCTTTGTCACCTACATAATTTTGGCCATCTTCGGCATCTGAGCTTAGCTCATCTCCTGCTCAGCTGAAGAAATTAGAGGTACAGCTGTTCATTCTCTCACCCTTCTCATTGGTCCAGTCTTTGATATCCTGTCCCTTCCCTTCGAAA